AAAGCTATCAAAGATTTTCATTATAATTAAACCGACTGTCAAAGGGTGCATTTTACCCCTTTGCTCCGAAGAACTCCGAGCTCCGAGCACGATGGCACATTTATCTTTCATCGGCTATAAAGTAAAACCAGCACCGTACACGGGTCGCTCGTTATGCTGAAAGCAGTTGGAGCTGCTGCTGGTGTACTCGTAGGAAAAAGAGGATAAGTTACTGTAACGCTCTCCTTTCAATCCCCGCGAATGTCGTTAGACGCGATATCGATGACGTCGCTAACAGTATGCATCAACGGTATTCAATACCGTCCAAGTAATCCCCGGGTAAGTCCAATCTATTTGGTAATATGAATCATTTGATTTGCTATACCGAGAAATAATATTTTTTAAAGCCACAAATTGTTTCTCGGATGTAAGCCGTGTCTAGAAGGGACATATTTCAATCTTTTCGTAAGCATTGCAACCAGTCTCGTCAGGGGTTTAAGGACGCGCTAATACTCGATATGAGAGTGTTCTAAGACCCCTACTTTATACGTAGATGGGGTGTCTGAGAAGTTCCACGTATTATTTCTCCAATATTCTAAGCAGAGATTATCCAACAGTTATTAGAAATTTCAAAAGGGGATGATCCAAAGGAAACGTACAGAAGAGAGCCAAGAATACTACCAAGTATCCCAAAATTGTCTCTGTTCGCTCTTGTTCATTACAATAATAAACACAATTATCTTCTTTTCTGCTATAGTCTAAAGGAATTTGTAAGGTGAAATTGTACGTTTCCTGACCAAAAACTAATCCCACTAATGTTCCCACTCATATTCCTATGATAACATAGATCTATTTATGGAGCTACTCGAGGCAAGAATGCTCCATATGACCCAAGGATCAATTCCTCCGCATCGCGATACCCTTCGAAAGGGGTCACCCCTGGATGTAATCCGTGGTAAGGGTGGTCCAGCGATGCGAAAAGAATCCTTGTAACCAAGGCACGGATACTCGTCAAGGAGAGAAAGCGAAACTGGCAGAGTGGCGATTCCGGCGTTGACGTTGCGACCAGCGTCGAGGAGATTCGCTTTGCCTTGGATAGCGTCGCGTCGCGTCGCGTCGCGTTGCGGCAACGGCCCTGTGATGGCAAAGCAGAAAGCAAGTTGAATCGCGGAGAGAGAGCCCCACCATCACGTGGGCTCGCAGGCCCACGGCACACGACTGACAGTTCCCAGTCAGCTGATCGTCCACCGAGGAGGGTGAGGAGGTAGCAGTAGAGCAGCAGTAGTAGCACGAACCAAGAGGTGGAGGTGGTGGAGGTGGCGGAGGAGGAAGGGAAGGAGGGCGGAGGGGTTGGCGACGCGCAGTCTGCCGTCGTCGTCGTCGGGATCAGCTGATCGGTGGAGGTGTGCTGGTGACTGACTGACTGACTGTGAACTCTGAATGAACGAACGGATGAAGAAGTCTTCGCTCGCGTGCGTACACGTATAGGGAGAGCTGGCTCTCGGGGGAGGGGGAGAGCGAGAGCGCGTATGCGCGCGTGCCTGCCTAACTATGCGCCAGAGCATTCGCGAGGGAGCGAACGAGTGTTTAGTATCAACGGAAGTGTCCCAGGACAGAGGCCAGGATGACCTAGTGTCGCTCTCTACACGCCCGGCCACCTTCGACTCCACCGGCTACCGTATGGGGTTGCTCCTGAACACGTGCTCTTGCCTCCATTACGCTTCATTTCGCGCCAACAAACATTTTCAACGACTGCTCGTTACCGAGTTGGTTGCAATGACAATTTCATTCTTCTCATTACCTATCAACTATTATAATTAACTCGCTGATTAAGGTTTCACCGATGTGAGATGAAATGCGAATGTCTCTTGATTGACTCTGATTAACGTTGCACTGGTAAGTGTAACTGTTGAAACGTGACTGAGCTATAAGAGGTGGTCATAGTACTTATGATACCGTAGCACGTATGCAATAATCTTATTGATACCTTCTTCTAATGGGATGAAGTACCCTCGTTATGGGTATAGAGGTATATCACCCAAATGAAAGGGCTGGATCCCGTGATAGCGACGATGTTACTAGTTATCTTTTAAAAAAGAAACATCCCCACCTGTACGGTTAGATAATCATATACAGAGCACTTAATAGCATAGCAGGGCTGTTTCTCGAGACAATTTACAGGAACGTTGGATCTGTCGAAAAGTTTTGTGGAAACAGTTTAAATCGCGGAAGCTGTGAAACGCGATATTTAGTAGACCGGTTCTGTTGAGCACTTTCTAAAAGCATCTTCTCGCAACATTCCACCCTCTGGTCATGAAAAACAGCCACGCTGTACATTACATCCAGCGCAAACGACTGTGCAGTCGGCTCGGCTAGCTCGAGATTTACATTTTCACCCGGAGGATTTATCGTACGGCGATGCATCACGAGTTTTACAGCCGCGCAAGCCAACATCTCAGGCAAACGAGAAAGATAATCTTGGGAAGGTCGATTTGCAATTGCGTAACGCCACCACTAACGACGGTGTACACTGTGTATATCTGTCCGCGACACAGTAGACGAGAGTTTATGTTCAGAACAGAGTGCCATCGGCGAGATCAAAGTGACAGTTTCACGGAAACTGAGCTTTCAACGTGTTTCGCGGCAAGCGTGTGAAGGATCACCGAGCACCGAGCAGTTGGATTATTTTTGTCCGTCGCTTGAATTCATTAAAAAGACAAAGATAGCCCAAAAGGTACACTCGTAATTATAACGCACGTTCATAATTGCTCTCAATTACCGTGCCCTGTCCTTTAACCGTGTATGATCGCTCGATTAATGCTTTAATGGACGCGTGTAGCATTCGGTTTCACGGTAGCGACAGCTTGCCTGTGTACGCGTGTACGTAATCATCGCAATTGAATACGCAATACACACGACCAGAGAAGAACAGAAACGGTCCCTTGTTCCGTCGGAACATATAATAACCAGACGAACTTGGAATATCTATGGACGGTATTTCAGAATCGGTAGGACAATTTGAAATCTCCAATTTGTAACGTGAACTCGATGTTCCGAGAAATCAAACATCTCGCTCTTGGCACCTTCTCATCTTATTCATCTTATCCTTCAGATTCGCAAATAACCTATACAAGTGTTTCAAGTGTATCTAATCTCAAGTTAAATTATAATAAAATGTGTTAAAAAGAATTTGAGTATTTCCAGGACACCCTGCATACAGAATAACAACTTACAATACGTAACTACTGATACGAATGTTTCAGTTTTCTTTCAGCGAAGTCTATAAAAGTTTGCGCAACACAAACGTTTAACGACGTTCTCGGTGTAATGAAATGTGTCGGTGTGTACGTAAGAATATACAATATGTACGTGTAAAAGTAATACGAATACGCGATATTTTCTTTTCGGTAAAAGCGGGAGCCTCGTAAAACTTTGGGGTCTGTTGGCATTGTCGGGGCATCTGTGAATGCATGCGGGTGCCACGTTGTGCACGCCAGTTGTCGCAAGCCAAACAATGCCCACTCTTTTCTGTCTCCGCACTAACTCGTTACATAAGATAAACTAATCTACAAGAGTTGCGACAAGAGTACACGACCAACGCTCCAATGAGATATCGTGCTTGCCAGATCCAACTTATTACGAAGACTCCCCCCCCCTCAAACACACACATACAAAATCTCACCGTCTACCGAAAGTTTCCTTTTTATCTAAGTCAGTACATCGCGATGTTAGATCAATTATATAAGATCTATTGATCTATAACCTGTGTCTTCTACGAGTACGACTCGGTGTCGTACAAGGCGATGAGTTAACAATTTTTTTTAACCTATGCATGTAACGAAAGCAATGCACTTGAAACTCTGTGCACGAGACGCGTGCAATGCGGTTTGCAAATGGATCGAAGTCGGTTTGATAAAGGAACAACGAAGAGAAAAGGTACAGTGACCTCTGGCGATGGCTCGTGCTCCAATGATGGCTTACCAACTGGTACACGCCGTCAAGCCAAGGCCATTAATACCGATGCATCTTTGCACACTCGACGCGGCCGAACAGAGATGCGAAAAACACGGCGAAAAATCGAGTTATTTGTCTTGCGGCCGTTCGAATAACGCCAGGCACGCACGCGTCCGCAAGAAATTCTCTGTTCTCGCCTCGCGGCTAATCAAAGCGATGCTGATTATTATTTTTTTACATGGTTAACAGGGAATTCCTACTTTCAATCTGGATGAAAATATCACTAGACAAGAAGACACAGTACCAATAATTCTGTATAACGTGTCAACTTGCCCGTACTTGTTTTCCTGTTAATGGTTAAAGGAAGTGGAACACTTTTATGGATACATAGAATATACGGAACGAATCGAATCGTTTGAAAATTTGCTTCTTCCTGTCATTAGGCACGCCACGTTAACACTATGAAACCAAGGTACACGGACGTACTGTACGCGTAATTATAACTTTTATCGAACATATGTAAGTTCAAGCTTTGAATGACGTTACGCCATTTTTATTTATTTCAATGACTGACTAATTAGCGATCAGAGGGATTGAAAAAATCGAAGGGAAAAAAAAGAAAAGAAAAAGCAAGGGAGCAGCAGCGACGCGTTTAAAACGTTACGGAGACGTTTTCACGTTGGCAAGAACGATCGACGAGTTCGAATTGAGGCGATATGCTTTCCTTTGGCTCTCCTTTATCCATCTCACTCCTTCCTCGACTAACGGTGAGCCCATCTTACGACGGCAGAACGTATACCTCAGGCTATCTCTATTTAATCTCGTCGAGGCGAGGTTGCCGTTTCAACGCTGCCACGAGGCGTGCTCTCGGAAGTGGTCTGCCCTCGGTTGCCCGAATGGCAACGTTGCACGGCTCAGCACCTCTCCTCGCTCGCTATCTCTTTTCCGTTCAAACGCTTCTCGCTTTCGAACTCTTTCTGCGTTACTCGGTATAACTCGACCGCGTCGCGTCGCGTCGCGTCGCGTCGTGGTCTCACACGCGACATTCGCAAAGGAGGTAGTAGGTGTCGTTACCTACGATTCAGAGACGAGCAAAGAGAAGAAATGCAACGAATAGCACGATCATCGAAGCAATGTCATTCGTGAAAATTAGCGATTCGATGTTCGAGCCTCGAAAATGCAGTAAACGACTGTAGGTTTAAAGCTGAACGTGTAGGCAACACGGGCGAATATTTTCATCATGGAAAAATTGTAATTCATTTGGTAAAATACTCGATATTAATGCAAAGTTTTTCTTTGAACGGAGTATCAAGCGGATGTCTATTTTTTCTCCCGTGAAGAACGCAGTCAAAGAACGTGCCTCCAAGTGAAAAGTACTTGGCCAATTTGGACACGGGGGTGCACATCAGCCGAGGCGCGTGCGTGGGACAGGCGTGCAGGCAAGAAAGCAAGCAAGCAAGCGATCAGACCAACCAACCAACCAGGCATCTCAGTCTCTTCGGTGTCCCCGGGTGCACATGTGTGCAGGGCATGAGGTCGCTCTCCTCGTCGTTCGATGTGTGAGAGCTCGACTGCCCTCTCCCCCGCAGCAGTGGCAAAGCGACGTTGCCGATTGTTCGATGCTTGGGCGGGCGGTGATGCCGGTATGCGTGTGGCAGGGCGCGGCGTTGCCATATCGACCGTGCCTCATCACCGGGGAGCGAACGAGCCAACCTCGCTAACCTCCCTCCCTCCCACCTCCTTCTTCCTCGACCTCCTCGCACCGTCTTTCTCGGTTTTACATTCTCTTTTTTTCATTTCCCGCCTCTCTTTTCCTCTTCTTTCAACCTTTCTTTTCGACTCCTTTCTCTTTAAGGTAGATTCATATTAACCGTTCAGACACGGAACGGTTACGTTCAAGCAAGGCAGCAGAGTTTCTGACTCTGAATTTATCGGAGTTTAGTAAGACGGTATATAGCATACGGGTTAATAATCGAGATTCCTTCCCTTGTAAATCTACTAGTTTTGAGTAGTAGGTAATCTGAATTTATCAAGGAGGAGACGCAAAGTGCCGCGCCGCGCCGCGCGGCACCTGACTGACTCAGCATTACCGACTTCGTCGTGGATTCCTCGCACGCTACACGCACTGTGTATAGCGAGCAGACCAATGCCAGACTACGGTGCGTGCCCATTTGACGGCCGCCGAAGACTCTCCTCCGTACCCAACAGCAGCCAGTCGCGCCCTTGAACAAGCCGGACACTTGCAAACGTACCGCTTTCCCTCCGTCTCTTTTTCTTTTCACGTATCTTTACTCTCCGCGAAGAGATTCTCGCTCTTTCTTCCGAGGGCTCTTTCCTTTTTCCTCCTACCCCTCCAACGCGTCTGTCGCCCCTTCTCTTTTCTTTTTCTTGCCGGAACCGGTAGGAGCGTGATGTTCCGCCACTGCTTCTTTGACAAGACGTTACGCGAAGAAAATCTCCAGTTTTACCATTTATTTTCCGCCTAGTCTACGCCTATGTTTTTTAACTGGTTGCTGACTCGACCCTCCAACGTGACTGTTACCACAGTCACAGATATACCGCGACGAGAAATTCGCTTTGACGAGGCATTGCTAATTTTTTATTGGCATTAGGAAATTGGTGGGTTAAACTTTCCCACATGTGGTGTTAACCCCTTTTCCCTACTACGAATAACGGACAAATGCTTTTCTTTTTTTATTCTCGATAATATAACGCACCGAAAGACGATCGTTCGGATGGATTAATTTTCTAGCTAATCGAGGGTTTTGAAATCGGAGCTTAAGATAAAATATTTATATTAGCTGCGAACCCTGCAAGACTGACGAACTCAGCGTGCTTGGTATGCAACTACACCGTGAACGAACGTACAAGCAGCCGAAACTTATACCTCGAATATTTCAGTACTCTTAACTTAAACAGCCACTCATAAACGTATCCCATTTTCCAACCCCCGTAAATATGGTAAATATTAACAATACCGCATTCCTGACTATCCATTCAATTTTTATTTATCAATTATTTCTCACTCGTAAAGTGGATATTAAATAAATCTTTCTTTATAGTACTTCGAACTACATTTATTATTTTGCTAGAATTGTATATCCAGTTTACGCACGACTTTGATGGACATTTAAACGTTTCCATCTGTTCGACCGAGTATATTAATAGCATTATACATTTCAATGCGGCTGAAATATTTTTGTAACTGAAGTAATAACAGAGCACACCTTGAAAAACAAGGTGGCCCGAAATTTTAAATCTTCCGAAAATCAAATTTTTTCCCAACATTTCGTTTACCGTCTGCTTTATTTAATACGTTTTTTAATGTAACCGGGTACTCGGTTACCTACATAAGAGTTAAGCCCCGTGGAACAACGTGACTGTTATTAGCAGAACCGTTCCCAACAATTTCTAGTAACTTGAAGGATTAGAAAACTGAACCGTACAGGCATTAAAGAGGCTATAGAAATCCAGCTCGAGGATCATTATAAATTTATTTAGCGAAAAACTTCCCGTTGTATATTTCCAAGGGGGAACTAGTAGTTATCCAATCGTTTTACTACCGTAAGACTGTACACACTAGACCGCTAATAATTTCTATCTTCTACACTTTCACTTTACGGCAAAGCAACGTTCCTTAAGTAGACTGACTTTGCCTTGTAATGTAACGATCAATTTAATCAGCGACCATAAGAGACACTTTTTGCCATTTTTTTCTTTTTCTTTTTCTTTTTTCTTTACGAAGAAATTTTGATTGATTAATTTCGATCTAACGATACTCTGCGCCTTAATGACCTCGCTTACACAATGCACCGGATGCTATGTAACATCTAGGGAATTTTCCCCGATGTAAATTATTGTACCGTTACCTGTACAGGTAGGAACTTTTCTTCGAAACGTTTTTCTAATGCAACAAGGTCGTATTATGTTGGAAGATAAGTAAAAATTGTGTAGAAAAAATGACGTTAGACTGTCCGAATGAGAGATGTACGCTCGCCGGTGTATTCTAAGCGTGGTCGCGACCCGGTTACAGGTTATATAGTCTAGCCAGCTTCGATCACACTTGTTGAGGGGAAGCCCTCGTACACCACTACTTCCACCTCCTCCTTCTCTTCTCTGGATATTCTCTTTCTCATTTCCCCCTCTCGTGTCTTCTCTTTCTCGCTTCACCGCATCCCCCCACCCCCTCACTTTACCGCGCACCTTCTTCCCACCTTCGGTTCATGATCTATCCTCCCACCCCGAACTGTACCTCAGCAACTGACCCTGACCTTGCGTCAACTTCCGCATTGTCTCGATATTATGCTTGGATTTTGGGTGGAGTCGCCGATTCGAAAAACCGGGAACCACTGTTGCTCGACATTCTTACAACATCTTCATCGTCATATTTCATCCGTTCGATCTTCTAATGGTTAATACTTCAATAACGAATCAATGATTTTAGGTCAGCATTAATCCTTAACGCGACCACCACGTGCTACCGTTTTCATTCACTCGTTCTATTGAAAAACACACGTTTTATCGAGAAAATAAAAAATGGCAGTTTCTCATTTGAACGAACACGTTTCTTCCGTGATTCGTAAAAGAAAAAACGAAAATATCCTTGATTTCTCTTTGCGGAGAACACTTTCATGAGCGTGGTATTAAACACCGTTCGAATACAAAAATCACGTTTCCGATAAATTATTTTAAACGAGAGACTGAGTCAAGCTCCCTTGACTTTAAATGCGAAAAATATAACTTGGACGTGTTTCGAATATGTACCGTGAAAAAGTTGAGCCTTATAGCGATGTAAACGATCCGCAATAATTTTTACTGTAATCAGCCACTAATATTGGCAAAAAGATTAAATTTGTGACGCTTGATCTCGAGTCCAACTTGCTGACCACCAATTAGACAAATAAAAATACTTGAATACACCAATAGACTTAAAAGAGTTAAGTTAAAGAATACTAATAGCCTTTATCTATCTATGAAACATCATGCGTGTATGTGTCTGTGTATTGCGCAACGTGGTCGAAGAAACAGAATGCCAGCTTTCTTTGTTTCTTTTTTGTTTTACGCGGGAAAGGACACATTGAGAATCGATCGAGAAACGCGATCGAAGAATCGAGTGTACGCGGAACAATCGTTTTCCCGCGTTTCCGTGGCGTCTCTCGCATTCTTTGCTCGTTAATCACGCGCGATAGATAGAACCTCTTACATTGCTTTCGTTCAAACACTCGAAATATGTATTCGCATTCCAGAAATTCGGCATACGTGAACTAGACGAAACGATTTCGTTTGCTAACGCATTGCTGAAACTGCAACTGGTCCAATTAATATTTCGAACCTTCGGATACATAGTGCCGGTGTAATCTTAGCAAATAAGGTACCGATGAAATTTCCTGCCGAGTCATTGTTTTTGAAATGTCCAAACAGGTCAATAACCCTTTCGAGGAAATTGTATATTTTGTTCTGCGTACACGCGTCTATTTGCAATACAAAAAGAATAATAGTAAATAAGAAGATTAAACGCTCTACTTCAATCTGAATTCATTATTATAATTGTAAGCGCAAATATTAAAAGCATTACACGCGTGAATTTTAGATTTTATAATACATGATGATAGTTAATTAACGTTTCACACCACTACCAGCGCTCCATTGGAAATTGGTCCTTCACAGATCACTTTTTTTTTTTTTAATAAAATAGTATAACTTTAGACCACGTACGTCGTTAATATTTCATATACGAAACAGAAGAATGTCTATTTTTCAAGATACAGTGTTATGCCAAGGACTAATTTTTGGAAACGTTTTAGCTGTCCCTTATTTTTATTTAAACATTACTAAATCTCGGTTCCAAAGAGAAACAAAATAAATATCAAATATATAGCGAACAATAGAATAATTGAAGAATAAACTAGTATATATATATAAGAAAAATAATGTAACCTTTGTACACTTGTAAGTTAAAAACTGACATCTTAAAAAAAAAAAAAAAAAAAAAAAAAAAAAAAAAATGAGTGGAACAAGAGAAAATAAACAGCAATAACAAGATACTTCTTCCTTGCACAAAGTATTTGTTTTGTAAATTTGCAAATGACGTAATGTATATTGAAATAAACATTCATAATTGATTTTATTATATTATGCGATTTTACTGTTCAGTAACGTGTAAGGCTTAATCGTACATATGATGCACTAACGATGCTCGAAGGTAAATTAGACGAGCATGATATTTCCTAATTCTTTTTGTTCGTTACGCGTGATACGGATTACATTAAAAACGCAAAGTGGATCGTGGATCGCCGGAAATACTTGTCGTCCGTGATGCACGCGTTGAACGAATTTCGAAATATGTATATCAAGAAGAAAAAAATATGGACTCACCCTTATCCATCCTCCATGAGCAGTAACGACAACGTACAGCAAATACAGATCTATATCTTTTCCGCTGACTTTAGGAATTTTCTTGAACGGAGTCCTAAAAATCAGAAAATTATCATTATAAGAAAATTGCTTTTCATTTAAAATAAGCAGATACACGTGTATTTATTGCTTCTAAAACAAGTTAAAGAAATGTTAAAGTTAGAAACATATATGAAAATGAAAATAATTGTAATATATAAGCATGCTTTTTTAAAAGGTGTATCTGTTACACTAGAGGTTCTCGCTGAGGTTAAGTTCGTCGCTTAGCATAAGAGAGAATACTTTGTTTCCGTTTCCGAATCGAGTAAAATACGAATAATGACGTAATAAATGGCAGGCGTCTTTGCGTAAAACGATTTTCACTTGTCTCTGCGTTCGAACGATTAGAATTTCTATGAAAATTGAAGTAACGGATACCGAAAAGAACGTAGCGTTTATAGTGTTCGTTTCAGTGGCAGGAAAAAAAAAATCAACAAGTTCACGTAATATCGCTAATTTCGATTGAACGTAACCTCAATCGCATTAAGATACGCGTCCGATAATCGATGATAAAGAAAACATGGAACACGCGTAAACAAATGGCTTGCACAAAGGCGAGTCGTCGTCTCACGAAACTTTAAACTAACCGTACATAACCTCAAAACTATCCACATTCTAATTGTAAGTAGGAACGGTATCCCGATTTACATTTTGTACGAGAAACGATTCGAGGAGAATTCAAGTGAACAGGATAGAATTCGATGCCGTAAATGGAAAAAATCATCGACAGATGAAAAATTGTAAACGATAACTGTAAGCACAAAGCAAGATGAAGGTAAATAATGGTAGAGAAGAATCGGTAGGAAGCAAATGAACAAAATCGCCTTACCCTCTGGTCTCATGAAAGTGACGGAGGTCCTTCAGGAAGTTTTCCCTCTCCCTCTCATAGGTGACGGGGTCCTTGTTGAGGATCTTGGCCATATTCGCGAGTGATAGAGTGCGTGGGCGTGCTAATCAGGGTGTGCTCTGGGTTTACAGGGCACGTAGGGGCAGCAGGCAGAAAAAGAGGTGCACATGGGCGCTCATGAGAGCACATTTACGCCAGGAACGTTCTGCTGCTACGAAAGATGAGGATTTACGAGGACGAGGACGAGGACGACCACGGGTCGACACGGGGTCGCGACCCGCTCCCGACATCGGGTCGTATTGTCCTGGCCCGAAGTGTCGGCCGGTGGCCTCTCTCGCGCGCGCGAAAACGAGACAGCGGCTTTTCCCTGCCGTACACCGCTACCCCGGATCGGCGCACCAATATACACGAGCTACCGTGTCCCTCGCACTGAACTCGCACGCGTGGGGAAAAATCCGAATGTACACGTAGTTCCACACACAGTAGTCACTACCGATCAACCGAACGAATCGTGTTACGGATACGGGGCCGCAACGCGACTTTCCTCGCGGCCCGATCGATTCACCTGTCACTTGTCAACGAAACGCTTCGGATCCGTTGCGCCACGCACTCGTACCAACGATACTCGTCGACCTCACGAACCAACGAATTCACCCGCGCGGTCCTACGCGGAGCGGCAGACCGACTCAAGAGCCGCGTTTCCCTACGAGCGAACGCTTGCTTGACGTGCGCCCGTATATCAAAATGGCGTCTCCTCCTGCCTGGCATCCATTGGCGAAGCCACAGCCAATTTCCCGTACGCTACGATAGCTACGACCAGCGCCGACCCTACACCGCGACACCGTTTCCGCTACACTCCTCGTACCGCACGCGGCACACCCTCGCACACTTTACGTCATTTTACGCGCGACACCGCGTTGCCCCGACCATACTACAGCCTAGCCCTCGGCTTTTTTACCCTCGCCGAACCGTACAAACAAAATCCCGGGTCGCGCAGTATTTTTACTTTCAAAATGGTGTGGACCCCCCTCGTCAGTGGCGCACCGTTTGAATTGATCATGGGCTTCACCGATAGAGGCGCGACCTACACTGACGTACTCCAGCGACATCTGTCGGTTTCACCTTTGCCTTGCGCCAATTTCAAAGCAGAAACTTTTACGTACTGCGCATGTCCTTTTATGAACATGTCTTTCTCCTTTTAATTTCATCTGTTCCTTTTTCAAAACTACATTGAACCTTTATTTCTTCTTTATTCTTGCTTCAGATGTTCAACTACTAAATGCAAGTGGTCAATTTATAAATTTCTTACAACCAGTTTCTGCAAATTCATTGTTTATGCCAGTTTATGACATCGTGTTCGATTTACCAGTATGTACATACGTATACCGCAGTTCACCAGAGTCCATAACTGCGACGCGCAGGTTGGAAGATGGTGGGGGAACGCAGCGAGCTCTCCGCCAATCGCTTTCCACTTCGTTTGGGAGTATCGCCAATCAAGGCGAAGATGCGCACTGGAGATGCGCGAAGAACGAAAACTGGTCTTTTCGCAGTTATGGACTCTGGTGAACTGCGGTATATGTACCTTACAGTACCAAATTAATCTCAGAAAATTGAAATTAGTTGCACCTTTGTTTGTTTTCTACAGAACTGTGTAGTGTAAATATTACAGCAGGACTAAAGCGATGAATTTTTATATTACTTACGACGTGTATGACTGAAAAATTTAACACCATTATAACCTTTTTACAAATTCTCATAGAGACAATGCCGCCATGACGTCATTTGACCAATAGCAACGTCAAAAATTCACCAGTAGTCATAAAACTACTCTAGATTGTGCTATATTCTACAAATTTTTCACATTGTTTTATACATTATTCTACGTAAATAAATAACGGAGCACAACGTAAATATGTGCTTATGATTAATTGGTAATTTTGGCGCATTGTTTCACTGAGAAATATAAGAGGAACTAAAAATCAGTATCTTGCCATCAAGTCTCTTCTATTATTGCTTCATGATCAATGAATGGATGTTCTTTTTTAGCGTTAGTGATATTTTTATTTTTTGAACTGTAAACTGTAAACTGTAAACATTATATATTTCTTAATCTACAAAATACGATTATTCTAAAAAAGTAAACTTTACGTATTCTTTTGATTTACTTTCCTTCTTCGACTGGATCGTGTACCGCATCAATGTGATGTTGGTATATATAATTTAAACTAATTGTATCAGTTATTATTATATTGAAAAATGACGTACAAACGTCGGAAGTATCATCGTGGAGACACGCATTTAAAAAAAGGTTGGCGAACTAGAAGAAAAACAAAAGATTTAGACGAGGTAAAATAACCTAACCTAGTTTCTGTTTAAGATCATGCGTATCACGTGGATCAAAGCGATCGGCATTTGTTATGCATTATTTTTTATTTTAGATTGATGAAGATTTGAAAGATGAAAATGTAAAGAGGTTACTAAATCAAGAAGTAGATTTAGATAAACCTGGAGCAGGTCAATATTATTGTATTCATTGTGCGTAAGTATTCACGGTGTCATTTTGCACGTGTTGCAATTTTCAACGAGTTAACCTCCAACTATACTTCGCAATGAAACGAATGTATTTGTATTCGTGTTTATTAACAATTGTACTTTGAATTTAAATCAGATGATTTGTTTCTTTTTATAGGAGGTATTTTATAAATGATACTGCTTTGAAGGATCACCTTACAACAAAAGTACATAAACGTAGATTAAAAGCTCTCGAGTTGGAACCATACACTATTGAGGATTCAGAGAAAGCTGCAGGAAAAGGAAATTATGTTGCACCTGAAAAACGAAAAATTGAAACTATAATTCGCGATAGTTTTAATATGGACGCTGAATCAGAATTCACGTCAAATGCTAAAAAGGCAAAAGTAGATTCATAGAAATTAATATTTCAAAAGAAGAAATGTTTAGTTTTTGACAAGCTTAATGTTACCAAGTTTAATGTTATGTAAGGGCAATTAAAAATTTTTTAGAGAGTATATTTTCCAAGGGTACAATGGCAAAGTATTTATCATACTTTGTGAATATATATACCATTCATAATGTTGCAAAGCATTGTGCTTTGAAACATGTTAGAAAGATATCTAATTGTAACAGATACTATAGTTCTGCTTTACTCGTTCCTGGCGATAAACGTTCAGAAACATTTGTATTTTTGACACCATGTCTGGATTTTGATAATATAGTGGAAAATACGGAAAAATTACAACAGGAGTTAAGCGGTAGAGGATTAAACATTAATGCTGATGATGTTAAAAAGATGTGGATGTTTTATAAATCGGTAAATGCTGATAAAATTAAATTACAAGCAAGGTATGAAGAATTGATACATAAGCAGAAAAAGTTTTTTGGAAAGACAAATTTAACTGCAGAAGAGCAGATAGAATCCATTAAATTAAAAGAGCAAACTAAAGTTGTGAAAAATGACTTAAAGTCAGTTAAGAGTATCATATCTGATTTACAAGAAACTGTTTTATTGAAGATGTTGCATTTACCAAATGAAGTAGACAGAAGAACACCGCTTGAAGCACCTGTGGTGTTAAAACATGTTAATACATTGAATGAATACTCAGATTCAAAACTTCGGAAGAATCATGTTGAAATTGGAAAAGAACTTGGTTTGTTGGAATATAAAAATCCTATGCAATATTACTTATGCAATGAAGCAGCTCTTTTTGAGCTTGGTGTATTAAGCTATGCAGGGAAAGTATTTAGTGCAAATGATATGATTAGAGTGGCAGGCGCTGATTTTAGTCGCAGTGTGGTAGTGGAAGGTTCTGGCTTAAATCACGAAGATCCTTCTGATGCTTTTATAATAGATGATCATTGCGATGTAAACAAAGGTTCATCGAATCGCATGCATCTCGTTGGTGGTGCAAGTTTGATTTCATTTTTAGCCATGCATACGAAGCAATTAATAAATCCAAACCACTTACCAGTATCATATTTTTCAACTGGAAGACAGTATACTCCTTTTCGTCCAGGCTCCGCATCAATTGGTTTATTCACTGTTTGTCAAACATCAGCTGCGGTTGCTTTCGTGGTGGTTAAAGATAAAAATAGCGAAGAATATCAGACGCAATTTGAAAAATTATTCAACACCGTTTCTACATTGTACGGTAACATATGCGATCATTATCAAATTGTTATGAGACCTGCTTCAGAATTGCGACCATGGGAATCGATGCGCGTATCTTTTGAATTATGGTCTTCCTTCTCGAAACAGTACATAGAAGTTGGTCATATTTCAGCGTGCGGAGATTATTTCAGCAAGAGGTTGCTGATTGCGTATCAGACACCAACTGGACGAGACTTTCCATCTGTAATATCTGGCACAGTATTGTCAGTACCGCGTCTTTTGGGTTGCCTGTTGGAACAAAATCCAGAGAAATTTATTATTCCATCAAAAATTCGAGAACACATGCCTGATTATATTTCGTCTTAAATTTAGAAAATGAATTTGTCATCTCATCGTCATTTTGTTGTTTCTGAAATTGTACAGAACTTTATGTACACATTTTGTTAGAATAAACATTAGTGATTTTACAAATGAATACAAAAGAAGAGTATTCTTTTTCTTCTAATACATAATATATACTCATCTAAATGTATTACTGTTTATTTTTTTACCCAAGTTCATTCGTTTTTCTTGTATGATTTAAAATTTAAAAATATTCTTCGAAAACAATTGCACGATCGATAATAATTCGTCTGTTGTTTATAGAATCTGTTGTCAGCGTTTATTATCATATGCTTTTGATTCTGAAAAGTTAAATAATTTCATAAAATGACTATGAAGTTTGGAGAACTACCGGTCCGCATACGGAGGGTCGTGTATTACACCTTGGCAGCGGATGAACAAAGATTTTGGGCTAAATTTATATCGCACAGCTTGCCGGAATTCTTTAAACGGTCACTATACCTTTCCACAACTATGGCTCCTGGTAATATAAATTAATTATAAAATCTCGGTGATAGATACCGAATTTGTATAAAGTTTTCAAAGTTTATTATACTGTTTGATAAAACATTTCTTCTTTCATAGCATTTTTGATGACCCTGGGGATTTACACATGGTCTCATGCAGAATACAAGAGAGTAGGAAGGAAAAATCCAGCACTCTATGAAAAAAATTCAAAATAATGTTTAATGTTCTTAATAATAAAATGTGAATAATGAATAATAAAAAGTGATGCAGTGAATAAATAATATGCTTTATTATGTTTGATGTCTTATTATATCTCTGCATCCTTACATCCCTTCATTCCTTACATCCTTGCATCCTTTACATCTCTGTATCCCTTATATCCATGCAACCCTTGCATATCAGCATCCTCCACCACTTGTGGATGCATAGGTGAATTTGAATTGATATTTATGTTATTATTTGCATTTCTGAATTATATACTAAATTTTATAACATCAAATAATCAAATATATATTTTAGTTTGTTCCTAAATCACTTTTTAATATTAATATTGTTTAAATTAAGATTTATAAGCGATATAAGTAATATTTTTAATAATCCAGAGCACAAAACAAAGCCACTCCTCGTTTGATCCAATGAGCCTGTGGTTTATGGCTAGGAATTTCCATTGTCAGGACAAAATTAGTCGAATGGCCGGTTGTACTTAGCGTTCCTGCTCTATTGGTTGTTTTGTATACAGGACAAGAATAAATTCCTTCAGGTTCTTTATGATGCACTTCAGGCAGCAACAAGATAGGAGGCATATCTATAAACAAATACGCATATTCATATTGTACGTTTTTAAATTGTAAATTGCGTGGGCGTAAAAACTACTTTACTAGCACCATTTAGCGGTTTTTTAATGAAAGATGCAAATTTATATCAATAACAATGTCAGCTGAAGATCGAAAAATTATTAAAATAATCGTTTGACAAACATGTATTTTAAAAAGACCGTCATTTTGAATTTGTTTTTATTGACGAAAAATGACTGCCAGCCTAGTACAGCAAAAAGACCGTCATAAATAAATTTTAAATTCGATTTTAGTGCCATCTATACAAAAACGGCCGAAACTACTGGACAACTTATCGACCTATTATCGACAACTATTATAACCCGTGGCGCCATTTACATAAAAATGTTCTCTGGACACCGACCTGTATCATGTTGGGGTGTTAGGGACCCCGAAGCATCAGTGATACTCGGTATACCGATAATATGGCAACGGGGTATCAGGGACCCCGAAGTGCCGGTGATTCTGCATACCGCCACCATATTATCGTGGGGTGTTAGGGACCCCGTAGCTAAAATGTGCGACCCATAGACTTTCTATAGAGAAATTGAAAGCTCTCTAACTATTGACTTCGACTACTTAGGCGGGCAAATGCAACGGATTTCACTAATTTCAAAAAGAATAGTATTCTAAATTAGAGATATTTTTATCATAAAGAGTAATGATAAAAAGGGTGTAACAAAATGTTTCTTCAGTATAATATATCTTGTATAAAAAAAAGAAAACAGAATACACGTATTTGCAACAGCCATTGTATAACTTTCATTTTTCCTTCATTTTTCTCTTTATCCTTAGCTTCCTCCAGGCACCTAATTTTTCTCCCTTTATATCGCATAAACTAAATTAAGAGCTCGTGTATACCATATACTAGATTATCTTGTTCTATATTTACTAGTGTAAAGTTCCTTTGGTAGAGACTCATCTAAGTAGTGTCCTCCCCATCGACATCCCTCGAGAAATAAACCATAAACAACACAACCATCGTTCGGCCTGCGCATTGGCCTTGTTTGTAATACCTGTAATATTAAAAGTAGTTGGAGATTATTTGTTCCTTTTATCTCGAGAATTTCAGAATGGCAGAATATATTTCTGAACATGCGAAAAAGCCCGAAGGCATTCGTGTTTTCCGCCTTTGGAAAAGTCCGTGACTGAGGAAATTTGTTAATTGATAGTACCTTAAAGCTAAAGTTGATGGTATCGATGGAAACAATGTGTTTTCGAGCGAAATTCTGCAAAGTACCGGTTAGGAAAGCTTGAGGGAAATAGAAACCAGAAATCCAAAAGGCTGCGGGTATACCATCCTCTTCCCAGGACTTTAAAAATGCAATTCGATCCTTCAAGTCCAGAAACCACGAACCTGTTTTGTGTAAATAACATAACGATTTCATTTTATTAAGTAACTTAACGTAAGAAAATAAGATGTAGTACCAAGGGGTTTCAAAGAGGGGTAACCCTTATCTTGCCATATTTGAGGTATTCTGTTATTGTATAGGCTAGTAAATAGAGTTTCCAACTGTCCTGACATTACGACCAGCCCTTTTAAAGCTTTTAAGAGATCCATTAGCGTTGTTTTTACTACGTGTAACAGACCATTATAACGTATAGCCTCTTGCAGTAATACGGTATTAAATGACTCTTCGTATAAGACGGGATATCTAAAACGATTAATATTTCATAGGATCACCATCTGTAGTTACGTTAATCAAAATATTGAAATCTCTTGTAGAAAATGGTACTTTGTCTGCAAAGTGAATAGGTCGAAGATCTGCGGAATCTCTGAAAGCATATCTTCAGCTAATTGTGTCGTGACCTCTTCGGCACTGGCGCCTGCAACACCGATCTGACGAGGCTGAAGAGCGAGAAGCGTGTCCAGGCAGGTGTAAGTTTCCGCCTGCGCGAAGCTTATGTCCGCGTTTGGATGCATTCCAAACATCGACGGCTCGTCGTTCAAGGGGAACGTTTTTATGTACTCGATGTACTCGTCGAACGTAGCCGTTTCTACTAACTGGGAACACCATGAAAGGACCAAAGATCGAGGAGAATGTTGAAAGAAGTATGTACAAGGATACGATCGATCACGGTGCTGAATTTTTCATGCCAAATTTATGCAATATTTTTGTACTTGATAGTAGTGTTTTTCTTCGTCGAATACGTAGGTTGGAGAAAGGATTTGGGGTCGGTAAAAGTCTTGTAGGATCGTCAAAACACATCTACGGTCCCAGTCGTCCGTTATTCGACCACCATAGTTGATGTGACCGGCTGTGTATGTGAGCACCTTTCAAAAATTAATAATGCCTATTAGAAAAGTTAATTCTTTGAAACATATCAAAGAGTTAAATAATGAGAGTGGGTTTACTTTGAAGGGTACGGTGTCGTATTCCAAAAGGAACATGTGCAGCTGCGATATACATATCGTCAAATCACCGTCAGTAAACTCGTAGGGAATATTGAAACCTAAAGGACCAAATTTCCTTCGTTCGAGGAGAACCGAATGAAACAAACACAAAGAGAAAACGAGCCATTTGAACTGTGCAGCCTTTGGATGTTCCGATTGCAAAAATGCTGTCATTTCTATTACTTGTGTCAGGTACGCACGAAACATGTTTGCCTAGAAAAGAAAAGCACGGTGTCTCTTGTCTCAAAGAAACATTAGGATAGAAAAAGTTGAAAAAGAATGTTTCCATTAGACGTGTATCAATTTCCAATTCGATTCTAGATTGAAGGGTAAAAAGATACTTTGAAAACTCTCACCTTTATACCTCGGGGTGGTTCGATTGTCATTTTAGTACTGTTTTGAAGAATGCTGACAGGAAAGTCTGGCGAGGGTGCAGAAGTTAGCCATAAACGAAAGTCACGATGATTTTTTGCTCGTGACAGTGCTTCCACCACTGATTCCATGTCAGGCATCCAACTTGGAGCCAAATGGCAATTCTGTGAAAATATTCAAAATCTTATTTCCAACTGGAAATAAGAATTGAATGAATTCTGTTTCCAAGATAAAAAATGTTGAAAAAATGATATCTCTCTGTCTTTCATGGGGACGTGTAAGAAATTGAAAATGCATTATTCTTAACACGGCGCAGAGCGTCGCGACGCGACGGGCTGACAACCACGTTAACGACATTCCCGAGAAAACTGAATTCTAAATCTTTCTAATAATATATATTTCCAAGGAATTTCTTACTAACTTGAAAGAAGCACCAGTAACCGTGTTCAGAAGCGAATTTCAACATGGCTTCTGCTCTTGGTCCTTGTCCTTGACCAAGCGATATAGGGTGTAACTTGTTGCCCATTTTCAATCTGTCTGCAAACTTGTACAATTCAGCGGCAGGATCTGTACCAGTGGACAAGATAAATACAATTGGGGTTGTAGGTGAAGATTCACTGTAAACCGCAGACAATTCGGTGGTTTGTGGTTCAACAAATTCTCGACCCAAATGCTTAGCGAGATAAGATTGCATCGCGTTGGTCACTTTGTCAGGTCGAAGACACTTCAATACCAACATTTTTTGAAAATCGTCCAGTTTCGTTTGCCATGGTTCAGGAAAAGGAGCACTAGATCAAAAGAGGCATAGAAATGGTATTAACTATATTAATATTAATATTAATATGGATATTAAATACTAATTGCGTAAATTAAATTTGCGCTCGATGGTAAATTTTAATATAATTTCACCCCCATCCAGAATACCTAAGTACGTTCCAATGTACTTTACTATGTAATTTTTTCTTTTTCCATTTTTTCTTTTCTTTTTCAATTTCACAAGGTACATCAGGGTTGAAGTGGATCGATCAGACGGTTTCAATGTTACTCACAGATGCGCCTCTTGAGCGTCGAACACCGCTTTAAACTGGGACATCGCATGTTTGAAGGACTCCACGAACTCGTTGAACTTGGATAGATTTTCGAGGGCTTGAATTTCCTTCCAGCAACGCGGTGTGATCCAATCCGGCGATGGATTCGGTCCCTCCTGCGCGAACCAAGATAAAACTTTATACATTTGTAAAACGCCAGAAATCCCATTTGTATACACGTCACATTTGTTCAGCGAGCCTGAGAATTTTTGCGATGATATCCGCAGAACGTGAACAAACAGAGGTACTAACATTTCGTCTCGTCTCTTTTGATTCTCTTACATTATTATAAAGTTATAATCCTCGAGGATAGGGTAGGTTAATGATAATAAATGGGGATAGTCGGTTTCAGTTTGCTTTTGATAAAGGGGTTTTGATTAAATAACAACAGACATTTCTCATTGTGTTCCCTAAAGCAAAGAGATCACTTAATTATATTATTTTATAACGTTAGGTATGTTAAAAAATCGTGTCTTGTTCAATTTAGAATTACGTTCGTAGACACAGTCTCTACCATTTCTGAAATTTCCTTCTAATGATTGTGCTTGAATAACGGCTGTTCAAACACTTGAGGAATACCTGCTTAATAGACTACAATCTACAAATCAGTTTCCGATTTTAGGAGATTAATTCATAACTATTTCACGTGCTTTGAGGAGTACCACGAGACGGAGGGAATAATTTTAGGTAATCTTACCTCGTAAGGTTCCGGGCCAGCCAGGAAGTGTCTCCATTCGGTATGATCGATCAAATTCCCATGGATCCGTATTCTGGCGCAGACGAGGAATGCAAAGTGTAACTTGTGTCTCTCGAACAAACTACGGCATACGTTCGAGAATAACGAGAACGTGAAATTCCGGTTGATATTCTGGACTCGTTCCTGGATATCGTCTGGAAATTAATATCTTTTAAGCGACTAATAGCCAATGTCTCATCGATTAATTGAATCGATTAATTTCGGATTCCATAATAATTAAATGATACTTAAACGAAATTTACTCACTGCTCTTCGCTGTTGCGGCTATGCTATGATTGAAAATGTCCACGAACCATTCCAGAGAGTATTGATACATCGTGTCGATATGTTGTAAATCGGATAGACAAAAGAACAATAGCTGTCCACGAACAGCGACGGGAATGTACATCGACCTGGTTACTTCGATATCCGCTTGAGTAATTTCAGCCTCTTTCATTTTAATCTGTTCAAAAGATAACTAGTTGACCTGTGTGAATTTAACAGTTGGGTTTGAGTTTGAGTTTCGTATAAGGGTGCAAATGACTTTGACAAGCGGACCGGAAGTCTTTCTAAACGTACGCGAATAATGCGTATCTCTATAATCCACCAGTGAATCTGTTGTACGCGAGAACGATATTAAAATTAGCTGCGTAGGTATAATATGTAGAGGATAATTTCTCAAACGTCTACAGGCACTGACAGTAACAGAGAGTGACTGACGGTAACGGGGAGAGAATTAATTAAAGGAGTCAAGGTTATTTGAACGTACCTTGATCTCTTCGCTTTTAACTTTGGACGCTTCCAGGGTGAGAATTAGATCCATGTCGTCGACGGCAGAACCTTCCGACACCGATAATCTGTACAAAATCCTGTCCTCTATTTCCTTCAGCTCTCTTCTCATTTCAGCGTTCGACACGATCAAAGCGTTTCTCGTTTGCTCAAGATCAGGTCGTTCTTGAATAACTACTAAGGATAGTACTTGATCCTCTAGACCACTTTTACAAGAAGAAAACGATAAATTTCAATATCGAAAAAAATTCTCTGTAAACGTAAAACTTACGTGGTGGTAAGAGCAAAATTGACCAGAAGTATCTTGACGGATACATCTGGGGTGTAATGAGGGTTCGAGAGTCTGGTAGTGAGAAAAAGGCGAAAGTCTGGACTGTAAGGAACGATGGTTTCGCCGATTTTAACGCACCATTGACCACCATGTTCGAACAATGATCGCAGGAGAATAGGGTCTAAGCCTGCTTCCAATTCTATACCGACGTTTTCGATCAGGCATACTCTTCCAAATCGTACGCACGTTTCCAGCACCCGAAGGATATCTTTGTCCGACATTTTTGCAACGGATATACCGCTTTCCTTGTACTATTTTCAACGTAACATCATAATTACAGGCGTACAATTTACTTTGAGCAGACCTCTACAAGAATTTTACGTTAGATCTTTTACGTACCATAGACCGTATCCATTTATTTGCCTGAGCTTGAGGGTCGATAAAAAGAGGCCAACGGTTCGAATGCATCGCTAGAACTGCATTCTCTACGGACAGCATATCTCTGGGTAATCCTTCGATCTGCCATCTTCTTATTTCCACCTGATCCCCTAGGGTCGACACAGGATCGCTACCCGGTGTGTGAGGCACACCTTCCAGAAGTTTTTGCCAAGACGTCAAGAGACTGTCACGGTACTTATCCGTAAAAGGTGTCAAATAGGCTATTGCACCTATCGAGCAAGTGATTCGCGAAACGTTATTTATATTATAATATTATGAAATAATTTAAAATGTAATTTTTACCGGAAGCCAACAGTATATCACCAATGGCGTTATGCAAAGAAGTGTTTAATTCCACCACCGTGGACTTCCAGCGTATCTGTTCACCAGCCAAACCGTCGATCAGTCTCACAGCTCTACCCATTCTATCCTCGCAAAGCTGCTTTTGCCTCTCAAGTTCCGCTTTCTTCTCTTCCTCTTCCCGCAAAAGGTTTCGTAACTTTTCGACACCCGCTTCGACTTCTTGCAGCCTTTGTATCGCAGCTAACAGAGTTCTTTCCGTCTCCACCAGCGCCTCCTCAGCCTTCGCCAAAGCTTCCATCTTCGGTTTAACTTTCTGGTTCACGAAATAGTAGTTGTACATTGCGTGCACCCACAGGCACAGCGAGTAACAAGCTTTCGAAACGTATTCGATCTGAAAGATAAACGTGAAAATTCATTTTTCTCTTTTGGAACTCCCTTTATTTATAAAAAATTACTATCTCAATATTTTTCATACGTTATTAGGTATAGGTATTACACAACTTTTTTAAAGCAATTCGCGTACGTCATTAAAGCAGCTTATTTACGTATATAATGCATTTACGCGAAAAGAGGATGAAGCATTTTCCAAGAGCAATTTTCATTTAATTTAAAATGAATGTTGTTCTTCATGACATAATTTTTTTAAAACGTTCTTTGTAAGGGAATTTCACGGCTCGTAAACAAATTATAGTCTTACTGGTATTATTTTTATGACGCTGTATAATGTGCAAACTTATGCGAACCTTTGATGGCTGGAAATTAGGGTCCTCGATATAGACTTTCAGTTTATTAATCATCTCCTCGGTCAAATTTTCTTTATCATAATTTTCCATCGTGTACAAAAAGTGACCTGGATCCGCGAGCATTTGGCTACCAGGTCCCCAGTAATCTAGCTTTACTGCTCCCTTACCATATGTACCTGTGTCCACCTGAATAGATTTGTGTGTATTTTTATCATCGGATTACAATTGCATTTATTTCTCTATTCTGTCGTGAATATTTTCATCAAAATAATATTACATTTATTTTTCGTCCAATAATTTTCTTATAAAAACTGGCAATTATTGATTAAACAAATAATGGAAAGCTTACAATCTCATTCAGTTTTTGTTTTTAATTCTTACCTTGACTGGTTTCACATTATTTATGATGCAAACGGTTTCGATAACCAGAAGCACACCAACCGGTGGTCTTTTCATTGCTTTTACCTCGGTAATGTCGTTTCTATTGAGGGCCTTTAAGCTTTTCTCGGCGGCAATCAACATTGGACGTGCTTCACCTATAATTTAACATTTAATTTTAATTTATTTCTAGATTTAATATTCAATATTAGAGGATAATATATTAAAATTTATGAAAAGATATTAAAACGCACTTAAATCAGCTTCCGCTTCGTCTCTGATCATTTGGTTTTGTATCTTCAGCTTTCCCGCTATAGCTTCTTGTTCTTTCGCCCCTGCCCTCGTCTTTTCTGCTTCGATCTACAACAAGGATAATCGGATTTTTCAACTCGTATATTTGAAAGCAGTTCGATTCCTGGATAGAAGGAATCTCGGTAGAAACGTAAGGTCGAATAAAATCTCTTTACTGTCCACTAAATTGATATCGATAAAAGACTTAGTTTAGAAGCAAGTCTATCTTCGAGCCTTATTGTTAGGGCGCAACAATATAATAGAATTGTATTGACAAATGAAAATCGCCAATTTAAATTGTTCAAAAGTTAAATATCGGTATCCCTTCGTTAATTCTAATTTGGATACTGACGGTATCATGCGTAATCCTTTCAATCATCTTGGCTGTCGCCTCGGCCGCTCTCTCCAATTTTGGTTTCATGCTGGCTAATAATTCTTGCATCTTCTTCACCTCTACCTCCGCACTCGCCAGTTTATCTAAACCTAGAGTATAATTAGAATATGATTAGAATATAATTCTACATGTATGTGGATGCCGGAGGATGCAGAAATATACAGGAAAAGAAATTAGATTAATTTTTAACATTCAACCACTAATCTAAATGATAGGGATTAACTTTTTCCTCTGGCGCTCGGAATTTCGAACGAGATTATACTTTCCAAGTGATAAAAGAAGAAACATTTGAACGTTGAAAAGAAGAACGGAAGTTACAGGAGTAGAAAAAAGATTACGAGAAAATTGTATGGAAATTTATGTAAATCCTACGAAGCTGGGCTCAACTTACATCCCTTTCTTCTTTCCATCATTAAAAATCAAAGGATTATCAAGGTAATAAAGAAATTAACTTTTGCAGAAAGACGATGAAATAACGATTGAGTCGCGGATGTATGTATGTACATCCATTTTACTTCGACGATAGAACAAGTTGTTTCAAACTTGTATTTTTAATAAAAATAGTTTAAAGAAGATGTTTTAAATTCGAACAAGTAACAGGGAGAAGAAGAATCTTTTACAATTCGAAGACTCCTAAAAGTTCTTATTGATATTTAAAATACTTTACTTCCATAAAGTCAAAATGAGTAAAAGTTAATTTTAAAGTAACTTCACCTCTTTTAATCAAACACCAGTGTGCTTTCAAGAATTTTAATTAAAACCGTTTCAATTCTTAAAAAGAAAACTATGTACAATGCTTCAGTTCTCTTTCATTCTTTGGTATTCAACCGAAAATCATACACGATATTATTCGCAAGATTTTAACGAGAGCGTATAATTCATAAGTTTTGATAACACAGTATATCATTTTTGGTAATCAAAGGTATAAATATTCTCCGTTGGCTGTTCATTAATTGCATTATGCGCAATGCTCGTACATTTTTAAACCATCGAACAAATTTGGCGGATGCTTCTGTTGCCGGTTTCGGAGCAATATTTATGGCTCTAGCGTGTAAGAAAATCGATAGTCAGTGGTTGGCCACGTATCACGACCTCCTGTCAGACGGGGGTTTGCTTAATTTATCGTCTCCAAAATTAGCAAATTGGGTCCTTTAACCTTTGACCCGCGGTACCTCGCTCTGATCGTCACGTTTTCGCCGCGACAAGTTGTCGCCGCGACCTTGCGTCTTTCTCCACGTAGGAGAATAAAAAAAAAAGACGTTTCATAAAATCTCCTTTTTAGAACAAGAGTGAAACTTTGAAATATTACTGCGATTAACCCTCGAGTTTTGAACTTTGCTGTCTAGGGGTCATTTCTGAATTAAACACCGAATTAAGTATGAAAAGAGAGATTGATCGACACTGTAACATTCTGCATCGCGGATGAAATGTTGGGATATTTTTAGAAAGGAATATCTGACAAATCTGCGATACATATGTACATCGAAGAGAAGAAATTGAAATATAAGAAATTAAATTCAGCTTTTCAATTGACGACTGACCTGCGGATAGACGATGCTCTGCTGACTTTAACTCGGTTTTCTTTTTCCCCAGAAGATTGCCGTAATTAGAAAGTAGCTCCAGGTATGACGTAGGGGTAACATAGTTGTGACGATTCAATTCCTGTTTATTTTACACTTTTGCTAGATAATCGATCATGAATTAAGGAGTCTGCTTTTAATATAGTTTTACTTTTAAATATAGATCACTGGCTTCGATCACACTGGACTGCATGTATTCACACAATTTCACGATGGACCTTAGGATGTCTGCGTTGATCGATTCGTCTTTGATGTCGGCAAGAAACCGCATCGCTACACTCTGTAAAAGGAAAAATTAAACTACTTGTTCAAGAGTATCGTTTTTGTTGATGCAGAAAATCCTATGGAAACCTCTGTACAATGAATATTGCGAGGCACATCGTATCATTGTTTTAGTTTGCAATAGAATTTCGTGCACGTCGTGTACTGTTTCTTTGTTAACATTATCTGGAAACAAATCCTGTTACAGTGACTGATACAATAATACTACAAACCTGCAGAGCAGCTGCTGGCCATGGACAAAACCAATCGATTGTACAACAATTCACCAGTGCTGGGAATTGTCTGATACGAGCTCGAAATACTTCCCCAATCGGGCTGTGGATTTACAAAGACCACATTAAAATAAATCGAACAATTATTACGCAATTATTTAGGTGTAATTATTAACAATTAATTATCTTTAAATATATTTTAAACTTGTTATATCAAAATCTTCAAATTTTATTTGAAAATGAAAAAAAAAAAGAAACGCAACTACCTAGTTTGAAATTTAACACAATTAATATCGATGTATTTGATCAAATCATTAATTTTGGGGATTGCCTGTTGGACAATATATTACACAGATGATGTTGGCATGATAGGTGCATCGTTAGTCGTGATTGTTCGTTGTAAAGCTTTCATTACGTACGAATCAACGGAAATTTCAAGGATAGAAACGAAAATACCTCATCGTAATGACAACATGCAGGTTGTTGCGAACCGTCTTCACATAGGCAGAGAAAAGATTGCTTCTATTGATCTGTAGACCAGCTTCCTGTACCTGGCCACGCATCGAGTGGTATATCCTTTCCATCTCGTCCATTTGATATATGTTTGGCACATCACCGTTATTCAGAACGCTGTTTAAATCCTCCAGCATAGAGTCATCTTTGATCTGTCATCAGAGATATAAAAATAACGTCACGTAAAGCTGCGATTGTAAAAGATTCATTTCTGAGCAGGTAACCGCATACTGGTCGAAGTTGTAATATTTAAAATGTAGTTTGTCAATTTTCATCTCGAAAACGTACAAGTACTGAATAAATGGGAAATGGATTTCCGGACACCCACCGGCAAAGATTAATTATAACATTTTTAACCGAGTTTAACTTTATTAGGTAAATCTGATTTAATTTTGTTTTTAATCCCGTCGTTTAAAAGATGAAGGAATCCATCCATTACACAATTTCACGCGGCTGTTGTAAGAAGAGGGTGGAAATAGCGAGGGTGGAAATTTCACCCTTGCGTGGGTGTATTAAACATAAAACATTGTAAGAGGGAAGCAGGAGGTGTAAGATTATCAACATTACGTACTTTGTTCCTTTTAATTTTACAAAGAATGTAAAATGTAGTACCTGTGTGTCTGAAAATAAAAACACCATAAGTTGAGCCTGCACCCCAGCCTTCATCATCGAATGTTTGATGTCATCGCGCCAATCATGGGTGGTATAAGCGCCGCTGAGCTCGATTTGAAAACAATTGTAATCTTGTATGTGCGCGGCTAGACGTGTTAAACTCTGTCTCCCTAAAAGATAAAGCTCTAGAAATTAATCTTTACATCTACAGAGATATTTAATGTTGCGTGTACTTGAATATTTCTACATCACCTGATCCTCCCATTCCTAAAAGAAGAGCATTCCCCCTAGGTTGTCGCAATATTCGATTGATCCTACATATGTGATCAATCGCATCTTGAAAAAGAACTAATTTCATAGGGGATGTTGTTGTAGCATTGTAATCCTCCAAAAACTCGTTCAACATATGATCCATCTAAATAAATTGTTATTTTTATAAAAGTTTGAGATTGAATATTTTTTTCAAACGGAGAAAACTTTTTACCTTTTTCATATCGGTTATTTGCTCGTATTCTTTGTTTGCCGCACAAAAATCACTGTAAAATAACATTGTTTCACCAACGACCATTTGAGGATCGATTTCGAATTTCTTTCTCATCGTTTCTCTTAAAAGATCATCGAACCAGGTTCGATCAGTATCGTTGATCAACCGATCGCTGAAGACTCTTACATTTTCGTGATACCAAAGTCGTAACAGGTTCTCACGCATCTGAGAACGAAAATCCCACGATCTTCGTTATTACTCGTTTCATTAAATATTTATTTGTACGAACCTCGATTTTTTGCGGATTCATCATCAGCATCCCTTGGAACACCTTGCTGAGATCACGTAAATTGAAAGTGTAATGGGACTTGTGCGGAGTTGGTAATAATTCCTTGCAAATCGTGGTGTACAAATTCAACGTCGTTCCAAGAAAAATATCGAGCATGTTTGCGAAAAGCGTTTTAGATAACCAGGAATTCAAAATTGTACCAAAGATGTGTCTCTATAAATGAACGTGTTAACACTATAATTCCGAATTTAAAATAAGTATTTTAGGGTACAATTGTTTTCCAATCTTTTAATCGTATAAGAATAGATATAAACTTTATTATAGATGTACGAGAAACGCGCGTGTGTCAGAGTAACGAGGTAGGTATGCCTTTGGGAAAAATGTAATCCGGAGTCAGCTGCGAAGTAAAGGATGCATGAAAACTGTCTCCAGAGTTTTGAATTATCAACCAGACTAGATTCAAACTGATTTCCCACTGTGGAATATATGTCTATTGTTATCTTGTTTGATTCTCTTTTATGCATACCTAAGTTAACTATAATTGAACTTCTGAATAATTAGAATGTCTCTATTTGAAACCAGGCGATTACCTAAATAATTTGAAATTAAATTGCAAACGTGTAACGATCGAAAGAAGATTTTTCTCAAACATTATCGTTTATATTTGATTGACCCTCGTCGAATGTTCGAGCTTAAATTGAAACCGCCCTCGGATTGACCTTGCCCGATCTGTTTTAAACACATAAGAATGGGAAGGGAAGAGGGGTGAAAAAAGATTCCCTGTGGTCAGAGGGTGTACACCGTATAGTTATGGTCGCTCATTATTGGTCAAACAGGTGATTAAGATAAATTATGGATCGAATGAGTACGATTTACGAGGGTTAATTGCAGCGGACATCAGGGTGGAGGACAAACAGTGGCTAACTGAGCGACGATAGTTCGTCTTTTTCATGAGATCCAATTATTTCACGTGGGCGTGGATCGACGATTCGATGGAATAAAACTGGATCAACGTGTAGGAAAATACGCGACCCGTTGGAATTTACCCCAAACATTATCTTTAACACGTTCACTAGCACACGTGATATAATTATCTTTGGTAAAATACCCATCATTCGTAAGTGAAATGAATAACCACTGTCATTTTATAATTTAATACTTGATTGCTTTTTTCTTCCTTTTCTTTTTTATATTTCTTTCAAACTGGCAATATGTTGAAACCCGACACAAACGGGAAAACGAATCGAGTTTCACAGTTTCAATTGTATTTCAAATATTAAAGCTGGCGCGGGTTCTATAATAGTTTCGAAACAAAATCGCTTGCAATTATAAATATTAATCAATGAGAATTTAATGGAATGTATATTAATAGCGTTAAGCACATTTACCCAAATAATTTTCGTTAAAGACGAAAAAGGAAAAATTAAATTAAACAGAATGAATATTTCCGACGATCCAACATATTATAGTTATTAAGAGTGAAGTTTTGACACGAGTCGAATGAGACGAAGATAAATTATTCCGTCCCTCTGTTTCCAACCTTAATTGTTTCCTGCCTCCTAATTGTAACTAACGACTAGATACCCCCCGATGTAGTAGTAGCCGGCCGATCAATGAATACGTTTCAAGAATTACCTTGGCGTCGTCTTCCATTTCCGGGAATGCAATGAAATGAAAATGTCGCAGCAGTCTGGCTGTTACTGGATTTCTTCCGCCACCGGGTGGTCCCATCGCTCCAACGAAATTTACATCTTCAATCCGTCTGAATGATCCGATCTCCTTCCGATCGTACCAACCTGAAATATTTATTTGCTATTCTGAATCATCCATCATATTCATCCATCAAGCTTTTTCAATTTAACTAAACGTTATTCCAATGTTAATTATTATATTAATAAAGATTAAAATTAACCACTATCGATTTATTCGCTGCGCGACTCGTTATACGATTCCTCTTCAGGCATAATTAATCCCTTTATTCTATCTTCCTGTACACAGTTACCGAACAATGGGTCAAATATGCCCTACTTACCAGGTTAATGAATAATTAATTAACGATCGTTAGTCGAATAAATCTGATAATGAGCCACCTTCAAAATCCATAAACTGACGAATCAGTTCAATAGGCGGCTGAGCACCATATGTGTCAAGAGCAGGCATGTTCAAATCATCGATGAAAAAGACTTGCTTCCTCAACAATGGCGGTCCGTACACGTCTTTGCGTCTTTTCGTTAGCTTCTCGTCGATCAAGTCCTTTTATTTTTATTATGTATCAGTTAGAAAGAAAGCATTAAAGCACGGTAAAAATATTTTCAATTTAGTGATATAGGTACTTGAGTTTGGTTGGCAGTGGTCCTAGCTGAGAAAGTAATGAAATCACAAATAAATTTCTTCGGCATATTTCTGGACAATTTGGTGCTTATAGCGAGGGTCTTCCCACTTCCGGTTGGACCGATGCATAGTGCGTTTGAGTTATTGATCAATAAATAACCGACCAATGTTGCGCTTCTGACACTGTCCATTGTTGGTACTTCGATATCTATAATAATTGACCAATGTTTAAAAAAGAAGATTCGACAATTTCAATTCATTTTGCAAACATATTGGTAGAAATGGAATGTTTGCGAATAGAGAGACTCTCGTTCATATTTGATCGATCACATCTGATATCATATATCTGATATGTAAATTTAAGCCTCCACAGATTTTGGTATTCCAAATTTACCAGCAAATTTCATTTCCGGTGTAATCGTGATCGACGGGATGTCGTCCAACCATTTGTACCATTTCGGTGCTACTGGCTCGTGGCTTTCGATCGGATCAGTGAAACCACCGTCGTGCAATCTGCATTAAAGCGAACACAATTTTTATATTTCCATCAAAGAAAAGAAGTTGAATAAAATCGATCACCTGTAATCAAACACCAAACCATCTTTAGGAAACGGTAAGGAGTGTTGTTTGTCTTTTTGCACCTGTCTGATCCATTCGCTAAATATACAACGGCTATTGTAATCACTGCTCGCTCCGAGACTCCATACTGCAGCGAAAGCAGCCCAAGGTGACAGCAAAGTAGCTGAAAAGAATTAACGATTGACAATTGTTAATAATGATGTTATTAATGATAGTCTTTATCGTCTGTTTTAGATAAGGAATCAACCCCTTTCTCGAGTAGGTCATGAATTATGGAACACTGCTACACGTTCCCTTTTCATTTTATGCAAATAACGAGACCGCTTCGTTTTATTGCGACGAACGGAACGCGAACCTTTGCCTTTTATTACGTACATAAAAGTATTGTAAAATATAACGACACGTTTGATTGAAATTCTTACGGATTAATTGTTGAAAGGGTGCAGCAGGTGGAGGTCTTCCATCTCGACCAGCCATGGGTCCAATACGGAAGTTCATTAGATTTATGTAAGATTGTACCATTCCGGAATCGACGGTGCTTACTATTTCGTGTAAACTGCTGCGTAAAACTTGCAAACCAGGCAATAAATAATGTCCTGTTAACTCGGCTATACCATCAACGTGATCGGTCATATTCTAAAATTGTAAATCAAGGATCTTTTTTTTTTTTTTACTAATATTAATAACATTTGAAATTTATTTAAGCAGTTACCTTGGGTAAAGATTTTAGCCAACAATTGACAAGGGGTTCGAGACCAAGCCCTTCCGGTTCTAAATACACCATGCCGCACCTCGGACAAAAAAATTTCTACATAATTTTTAATAATGTTAGAATTTAAATTATTTTATAATTTTTCAGTCTTCGGTCGGTAAGTGAATGCATCTGAAATCTACCACGAATTATATCTCTTTTTTACGGTATAAAAAATTCATTCCGTATCATCGTAGTCATTTATTATGTTTGACGTGTTTCTTGGGTCGTATTCTTTTGCTATATTACTGTTTCCTTTTACTTTTTTATTTATAGCGTGTACATACTGTGATTAATGTTCTGACGCGAATCGATTATACGATGTTCGAATTTCGTAGCAATTCGAATAACAGCCTTCCTGTCGTTCCAGTCATGCCAAGGGATTCTAAGGCTTCATTAAAATGTGATACCGAATAATTATATTTCGGTAATAGAAAAGATAATTTACCTGGAAACAGTAGCTGGCGAAGCCACTCTTAAATCAGCCACTTCGAACATCATCGTCATTGTGGGCAGGATTTTCATTATTTCACCGGATGACAGACATAATTTTTTATTATCGTCTAATACCGTATTCATATTCTCGATCCATAAAGCATCGACCGGTCCATCGAATATATACCAACGTTTATTATCATCGTCTGTTGCTATTCCAGCACGGAGCAATGTTGAGAATATACCATCGGTCCTAAGAAAAGAAACGTTCAAGCTGTTCACAAGATCCATTTAAATCATTAATCACCAGAGAGAAATTATTTATTTAGAAACAATATCATTTAGAATCATTACCGTGAGAAAATTTATCCTGATTTAAAAACTTTTTTCTTCTGCTAATCTTGGTGAAATGAAATTAGAAAGGAAATGGTCTTTTCAAGGAAATTAATTCCGTCAATTTCTTTAAATGTAATCAAGTTTTGGCTCCTGATTGGACCACTTTTGAAGCAGAGTTTTATACAGTAATTAAAATAAAAGATAATTAAAATTTCTCGTTTCACAATTAACCCGCTGATGCGGGTCAATTTCGTTTTATTGTAATTCAGTGCAAAGTTGTTACCAAAATAAAAATAGCCATAGTATTTTTGAGAAACATAAGAATTTTATGAAGGTATTTCGTTAAGAATACAACTAGACAACGGGACCGGAAACAGCTGAGAAAACAACAATACGAGATGAGATTGCGAGTTTTGAAAAACTCGCGGATATTATATCGAAGATTTTCAAAGTAAAGTAAATTTTCGTGTTTTCACTTACCATTCGCGTGTGTTCAGATCGTATTCACCGTACAGTTGACCCATCGTAATCGATTTTGGATTTAAAACGTGTGTGAGCACCCGTGTAAATGGTTTACCACTGGGTTGTGGCTGACCCTTTAATTTAGTGCATGCCTGTTGCAGTACTTCGTAACACTGTGTGGAAAAAGATTCTTTGAAATCAATTGGTTGGAAATAAAAAAAAAAAATGCTCCCAAAGATGCACCCTCCTTTGGTCCTCCTGAGTAATGGAAAGATTTTCTTGAAATGAAATTAAAATATTTTACTATGTGATAATTCGACAAATTCGATAATTGATTGGATTAAAATTTCTGAAACATGTTTCTAAAATGCAAACAGCGTTTGTTAACAATGGCTGATCGCACGGGGACATGATCCATTGATAATTATCAACGCTGGCACATTCGATCAAAATTCATTTTTTTTTCTTTTTTCAATTCGTTCACTTTGAAAATAATATTTACATTTTTTTTAATCCGTTGCATGCAACGCAAGTGTTTGTTTTTAATATCAACATATCGAGTTGGTTTCCCGTGTATTTGAACTGCCGCGCGACAACGGTATACAAGGGAAGAAAACGAATTCAAATTTCCTTGCTGAAATTGTTTTTATATTTATTCCGGCGCTTTATATTCATGGACAGTATCGTCTCGAGACTTGCGAGTCACTCGTTTCTTTTAGCTGATGAAAAAATGCTAACTCATAGAAATATGAAAGTTCTGTTTGATGAAACGTTTCAATTTGTAGGATTAAATGATAATTTTTATTCGAGTAAAATATCTGCTATAAAGTACACGGTAAGTACCGAGTAAGAACATCTTTTTTTTTTTTTTTTTCTATAGTAGGTATGTTATGAAGAATAACTGATACAATTTTATCAGATGAACAATCAAATGTTCCCTTTATTAATTTTAATTTGAATAAATTACTCTGAAACGACACGTGCTATCATTTTCCACGAACTTGATAAGGGGTAATAGAAATGGTATTCAAGCAAGGTCTTTAAAAAAGGTCTCTTAATTTACTGTGCAGAATGCATCCTGATTGAGAATTGTGAAATTTCTACTTTTCCGTGCTGATTGTACGGTTCCCAAATCAATTTGAAATTACAGGTCAAAATGACCATAACTCAGGACATCATCAGGACGTGTAATTATGTTGTTAATTTGTTGAAATAAAAAGGCAACATTGACAAGGGTTGTTAGTACTGTTTCCAATGCTACTACGGGGTTGAATTCATTTTGAAAGAGGAATGGTAGGAAATGAATGAAAGTGGACATCGGCGCCGAGGGAGCTTCGAAAGCGCATGCGAAGGGAAGTCGAGGAGCGGCAAATGCGTCGAAACGGTGGATCGCGTTTCCAGTTTACCCGACGTCGTTTCTCGCCGCGCGACGCTCCGATTTTGCTCTCGACGGTTGTTCAATCACGATTTTCCCCAAATTTTCTTATCGTTTTGTTCGTGAATAAAAAAACAAAATTCGTTCACTCCTCGGCTAGATTTCGACGATCGTTCCAAATGGAAATTTTCATCGCCTATTGGGAATAGAAAAAAGAAAGTTGTTCCCGATGAAAAAGGGGAAAATTTCCCGTACAAATATCGAGAAGTAATTTAAAAAGGAAAAATGAAAATAACAGAATAATTGAATAACTTCTATTTGTGAAAACACAAAAAAAACCAATTTTCTCCATGCTATTTAAAATACTAAAAAAAATAAAAACAGGAATAAACAACAAATTTTCGTCAAGTTTATTTCATGCATGGGTTTTCAAATAGAAACTGTCGCCATTTTGGATACTAAATTTTCCTAATTGGCAATAAAAATATTCTTTGCATGGATGATTAACAAACAATCCAAATACAAACATTCGTTGCTCGAAAAATTGATTCCCATTAATTGGCAATAAAAACAATTTGTTCCTTGCGTAGGTGTATCAAGCGATTTACTTTATCGCAGTGAAAAGAAAAAAAATTGATGTAAGGATACCAGTTTGTAATAGTGGTGAAGATCAAGGAAGATCAAGAAATCAACAGAGTCATTGAACTTGTGACGTTCCTGAGGATTACGTATCGTGTTCTCGACCTTGTTTCCGGTTCCGTGAGATGTAAATTTGCAGAATGAACACAGTGGATGGTGAAGGTCGTGGACGAGAATGAATATTCGTGATTGTTGATTCGAAACACGCGGTGTTGTATCTCGATCATCAGTGTTCGACTTTCGTCCGATAATTGCCAACAATATGGAATTATATAGAGTTGGGGCTAAAAGTGGTTGCAGAGGATCGGATACTTTGGATCCTCGATGTATGTGCGACTAAAATAAAAAGCAAAGAAAAAAAAAGAAAATTCAGTTTTTAATCATCGAACAGTTTTGGAAGGGATGCAAATTCTCTTCATTCATATTTGCCGAAATTTCAGAAACCTTGGGTATATTAAAAAAATTCATTCGTCTATTTTTCTCAAGTATCGTGGTGTAAAAAAATTAAGGAACAATCGTACAGAATACGAGAAAAATTCTTGTTAATCGCGAAGCTTTTGCAAAGGACAAATTAATATTCGCGCACGTTCCAGGAATGAATCGTCCGTGTTCCACGACCGCCACAATAAAAGTTTCTGATTATTTAATCTAGCTAGCTGCGCGAACGCAAAACGATAAAGTTGAAACTATCGTGTTCGCAGAAGGAAAATCCAGCAAATTTAAAAAAAATAAATCCTATCTCTCTTTAAAAAGTGAGCCTACGCAAAGAAAAAGAAAAAGAAAAAGGAAAGGAAGAAGAATCTCCTGTAACCGCAGCATTTTCCGGTCGAAAAAGCTCGCGATACATCTTTTTCGAGTACGAGAAAGGAACAACAGAGTTGATTGAATAGAAATTGAAGAGAATGAGGCCATTAGTTCGGTATAGTTTTGAAATTTGCATGAATAACACGGAGCGTATCGGGTCGGATCGAAGAGAAATCAAATAAACAAGCTATCGTAGGTTCGTTGGATATCAAGATAGTTTCCAGGCAGGCAACTGATCGATACGAGGTGTGTAATCGAACCGGAAACAAAGTCGAAGGTGTTTCGAAGGCCGAGCAAAGAGGAAGTGGTCCAGCAACGAATACCTAACAGCGACTATTTGCGTACCGTTTCGTTTATCTTCCTCTCGGACGACCACTGCATCGATATTTTCCGATTGTTTGTTGTTTCTCGCACCGTTGGAAGCGGATTCAAGATCCCTTAGATCCCTTCCAGACACGAGAACAAACCATAATTACTTAGTGAGTTCAGAAAGGAACGTGTGCTGTTTCGAGTGTATTTAAAATATAACAAATTTTCTTGTGTTTAATTATAAATTAATGCGAAGACAAGTGTGATAAACAGAAAAGTTAAACATATTTAAACGGGAACTTCAAGGTAAAGGATCATTTTTTTTACCATTACTGTGATTGATACGAAACACGTTTTCAAATTATGAAAATATTCTAAGGATTCGAGGTGTGAAGGATAGTGTGAAATATCGATTGATCTTTTCGAATGAATTTTCCAGGAACTAGAAGCTTTTGCTTCTCCTTCAGATGCAACCGATAATTAGATTTTACTGTAATCACGTCAGGCACAGGATCGCAAAACAGAGATATTTTTCTGAATAAAACGCCGACTATATCACTTGTTACAAAACAATCATTTTTGAGAGCAGTAAATTGAAAGTTTGAAAGTTACAAATTGGACTCGCTTTAAAGTGCAAACACTAATTAACAGAACAAGTTGTTTCTGAGATTTTAGTTAATTGGTAAGCTGATTTCTCATTAAAACCTGGTCTTTGGGTGCGAATTTATGGAAATTTATATTAAAATTCCTTCGAGCTCAACGAATTTCAACAAACTTTCAAAGTTTTTCTCCGATTTCCCAGTGAAACGAAGAAACGGAAGACAACAATGTTCGTCACCACGTCTACATTAAACCCAAACACGAGATGCATCGAAGCGGCCGCAACGATGGAGGCGTCGCGTGCCAGACGTTCCGTCTCACCGACGATGTGGGTGAACCTGACCCACTACGCTTACAGGAACCGGAGTTTCGAAGCTGGAATAGACTTCGAGGAGAAGCCGATAGACGCTTGCCACCCTCTCTATTTCCTGCTCGACTTTTTCCACCAGTACTATATTCCTTCCATCATCCTGTTGGGACTGGTGGGTAACCTGCTCTCATGCGTGGTGTTTTTGAACACCCACTTGAGAATACGAAGCTCCAGCTACTATTTGGCCGCCCTAGCCACTGCAGACTTTGGCTTCCTCGTCACTTTGTTGCTAGTTTGGTTGAACAACACTCTGGGATGGAAGGTGTTCAACAAGGATGGCTGGTGCGAGACCTTGGTCTACGTTAGCGCTGTTTGTAGCTCTTTGAGCGTTTGGCTGATCGTTGCCTTCACCGTCGAACGATTTATAGCCGTTCAATATCCTCTTCACCGGCCGCATATATGCACCATAGCCAGGGCTAAAACTATTGTCCTTGTGCTAGTCATCTTGGCTCTGACCAGCCATTCTTACTCGTTCGTCACTGCTGGTGTTGTGTCGAGCAGAGACGGAGAAGAGTATTGCGACTTGAAGGTCGAATACTTGGAGACGATGAAGATCATCAGCATCATAGACAGCATCGCGAGTTTGATCGTCCCCTTGGTATTGATCATCGTGATGAACACTATGATTATGAGGAACTTGTTGAGGTTCAGCAGACGCTTCAAACAGACTTCGGCCAGCTCCACCGACAGCCCCAGCAGGGAACGATCCGATATCAATTTGAATCAAATTCCGGTGAGTTTCTTTTTTTTTTTTACTGGTCATTAATCTTCAATGTTCATGAATCAGAATAATTGTTAGCACGTTAAGCGCGGAGCCGATTTTGTTCACCATTTGACGATATAAACAGGCGCGCAATGGTGCAGCCAATGCAAAGGTATACAAATTCTAAACATAAGATAACGATTCTGTATGCAAACGAAAAGTTCGCTGTCAGTCTCTGGGAACTGACATGACGCCACGCCTAACGTGTTAATGTTATTACCGCATTGATTGTTCTAGTAAAAAAAAAAAAAAACGTAGTACGGCACGCTGTATTTATGATTATTTAGGATACCATCGTTGCACTTTGCAACTTGAACTTTTCACACGCTACCTTGCGTGACTGGTGTAATATTAATGTTATTTTAAATTCCATTTCAACCATTTCTTTTTTTTTTATGTCAGCGGTGACCTTCATGATATTGAACGTAATCATTTCTGTAATCTATGAATTTGTTACAAATTTGCACCATATCAATTGAAAGCTTGAAGTTCGATAAATATAATGGAAAGAATTATTCGTTAATAGTGGGCGGAAATGGTCTCGAACGAGTCGTTAAGATAATACAACTAGGAATGATAACACGACTTTTGTTCATCGTGTTCCTGACAATGACACGAACGTGCTTCTGTGATATACAAACACTTTTAATAACTTTGATAAATGAATGAAACTCGGTACAAATAGTCAGAGCTGTAAGTGCTGCATTGAATTATTATAACTTAATTGTATTCGAAATAATAATTTCGTTCAATTTTCTGAAATAAGGTTTTGAATTTACCAGAGAAATGTAATACATTACTTGGAAGTTACCCGAGTGCATACAGAGTTAATTTACAGAGTATCAACCGCGCGGGATGCTTGGAGATTGCTGTTTGAATTTTAAACAGGACAGAAAGGATCCTTGTTCGTTACAAGTTGACTTGATTTACAGGAAACAAGCTCGGTTCGTGTCTTGTTTCCTGTATTATTTTCTCTTCTTTTTCTTTTTCTTTTTCTTTTTTTTTTTGGAAAAAAGCATAAGTACCTCAAGGTGTTTTTACTCGAGATGTTCAATGTATATCGAGTTTCGGACGTGGGATGAATCAGACGAGGGAGTAAAAAAACTGACGCCCCTCTGTCTGAAATATTCGACAGTTAATGGAAGCCACTATTTCGCATGCATAACGTGGCCTGACCTTCTACTCGGTCTTGTACCTTTCAATTTTCGGGATATTTTTGTCATTTTCCTTTTTTTTTTACGAGCGAAGAATGAAGAGATATATGGTCCGAAATGACTAGATTCCTTTAATAGAATTTCTAATTTTTAGCTGTTCCTCGTATTACATCTATCTTCTAACTAATCCTTGCTCGTTTATAGACCTGCTAGCCACGAATCATCTATTTTCGATCGTTATATAAATATCTGTAGCTTATGTAACATTTACTGCTTCTTCCTACTCGAGTGCGCATTAATGTGTTGACCATACCAATGGAAATATAATAGTCTACTACGACACCATAATACGAATCATCACAGACGTTAAACATTAATTCTTTTTAATCGTACGCTTTTAGTTTGCTATTTAATATTATAAATATAACCTTAGCGGTATTTAGAATTGTCCTATTGTTTTCATTTGTCAATTATTCGAAAGGATTAAATTGTAATCGATGACCGAGGTGGCTACGAATGCGTTAATCTTCATAGCAGTGGACCGAGCTGTGTAGACGCGGTGTTCAACGTAGTGAAACAATCACATTTCGTTTCGTCATCTATACGGAGTGGATCGATGTTAGATAGACACATATATCTACCTACATCTACGTTACACGATCAATTACACAGTCTGATTGAAAGGCAGCATGTTTCAGTAATCAAACGACGAATCAATGGCTTCTTTATTGATGATGACGACGAGGACGAGGAAGTTCAGATACGTAGTTTCGAACATAGCTTATGACTTACTTTTCGATACTGTTAATCAAAAATTAAAGAAAATTCTAATAAGTTAGCGAATGGAAAAATTAATTTGAAAAATGAAATGATCATACGTAATTATAGCGAGCAGTATCGTATACGTCCATTCCACTCTGAATTTTATTATTTATTTAACTACATTCATTAAATAAAGTAGGTTTGCGATCGTCGTGGAAAAATTTAACTGAATGAATCGCAATAAAAATTATCGACAAGTGTGGGTACGATAATTTTGAAAATATTATTAACTTTATTTTCTTTTGATTAAAGATTTCTGTGATTTTTCAATAATCGTATTGTGCAATACCAGTAGTCGGCGGAATTACTCCAAGCTTTCTATTTTCATCAACATCATGCAATCTTATCTTATATTAAAACAAGTTTACATCCTAACTGATAAGAATATTTTTGAAGAAGAACACAAAACACTAATATGCATCACCTATTACATAAGACATCATAGATAAAAGAACGAAGAAAATCTCTTCAATTCTTTATTAGTCAACAATGATATTAAAACAAAGGATAAAAGAAGCAATAAATTCACTGTTGGAAAAAATGGAGATTCCAGACCAGAAGTAGTCTGTCATTGTAGGTACTGTATATAGTAGCATGTCTAATGAAAACAAATGAGACTGGATAGCTCATAGTGTGGCACATATGTGTAAACGTATTAACATCACCACTCACGTGACACTTTTCTCTTACGTCTTTATACATATATGACGCTAAATTGTACGCTGCTCAGTTGTTATCGAACAGTCAGTTACAGTGATTCGTACCAACAGCATTAGCAATTCACAGTGACGGGGAGGGGTCTCTTCAACCTGCACACCCCTATTTCAACAATCTCCAGTCTGAATTCAGTTCTGAATTCTAAATCAATCAACAATGGATCCTTTCACGTTAACTCTCTTCCTGACGATGGGTTTCCTGCTTTTGTATCATTTTCTATGGCAGCCGATGAATTACTTTAAGCAACGCGGTATCAAATACGAATCACCTGTGCCGATTTTTGGTAACATGGCGTCTGTTGTGTTACGTCGTACCACCATGGCAGAACACTTTCAACGATTGTATCACCGTTTTTCCGACGTCAAATATTTTGGATTATTCAACTTTACGAGTCCAGTGATCGTGATTCGCGATCCCGATTTAATCGCGTCCATAACTGTGAAGAATTTTGATCACTTTTCCGATCGTCGTGGTTTCGACGTCGGGGATCTCGATCCTCTGATAGGAAGAAACCTGTCCGCTCTTCGGGGTGACGAGTGGAGAGAGATGAGGAGATTGCTCAGCCCTTCTTTCACCTCCATGAAAATGAAGATCATGTATCATTTGATGCGCGATTGCGCGAACGATTTCACTGATTTTATTGCCAATCAATCGAAGCACGGAAAGGTTTTTGATATAAAGGACATCTTTGGCCGATACACGACCGACGTTATAGCCACCTGTAGCTTCGGTATTTCAATCGATTCGATGAGAAATCCTAACAACGAGTTCTATGTATTGGCGAGAGATACGATGAGCTCGCAATCAAGTATGTCGTGGAAATTAATGTTGGCTATGTGCTGCCCTGCTCTATGCAGAACATTTGGTATTAGGGTATTCAGCGAGAAGGTTCATCGGTATTTTTTGAACGTCGTTCGTCAGACGGTCAAAATGAGAGAGGAACAGGTGAGTATAATTCGTTTGAAACGAATTTAGAATTTGATAGGTATCACGGGAAGGATCTGAAGACAAATCATTCAGAAATTATTTTTTCCCATCTCAGCTCCATCATTGTAATTCCAATCATTGAGCATTAACCTTGATCAAAACAGGGCATCACCCGTCCAGACATGATCCAATTGATGATGGATACCAAGGATAAAGAACGAAGCTTAACGATCGAAGAGATGACGAATCAAGCGTTCGTTTTCTTCTTGGCTGGATACGATACGTCTTCGACGTTCCTCTCTTTTCTGATACACGAAATCGCCACGCACCCGGAAGTGAAAGCGAAATTGATGGAGGAGATCGAGGAGGTAGTTCGAAAAACCAATGGAAATCCAACCTACGATGCTTTGAAGAACATGCCATATATGGACGCTGTTATGAACGAAACTTTGAGGTTGGACGGCATAGCGATTAGTTTGGATCGCGTATGCGTGAAAGAGTTTCAACTTGAACCAGCCTCTTCTGGCGCAGAACCTGTTACCCTAAAACCAGGCGACATCGTGTGGTTCCTACCGTTCTCCCTTCAACGCGATTCCAAGTACGTGAAGAATCCAACGAAATTCGATCCAGATCGATTTTTAGGCAAAGATGCTCCTTCGCCATCGGTTAATATACCATTTGGTATCGGCCCAAGAATTTGTATCGGAAACAGATTCGCTCTTCTCGAATCGAAAATCTTGATGTTTTATCTGTTATGGCGTTGCGATGTGGAACCGTGTGAAAAAACCCAGGTACCAATGAAATTCAGCAAGCACAACATTGCTTTGACGGCGGAAAATGGATTTTGGTTAAAGTTTCGGGCGAGGGACAAAGTCTGTTTGCAAGAAGCAAATGGCAAAGTGAAAAATTAGTGAAATGAGTGATACCTGACCAAGAAGCCAAAGAATTTTCAATATACCGAGGATTGATACAACAATGAGAAATGATTAGATTACAAAATATGAAAAAATAAATGTACTTGCAATGTTGCAGTTTGTAACAATAAAATTATTTATTTTAGCAATTTTTTTAAATATCACAACCCGAAACAAACAAGAGTTATCATAATTAAATTATTATTTTCTCGAAGTGATCTAGAAGATGATGAAAATTTGTAGAGCATCTACAAACACGCGTAATTTATTCTTGTTACGGTGAAAGTGTACGAAAAATTGGTCAGCATTTTTTGGTAGATTTCATTCGAACGTTATCAATCATACCATTTAATCATCGTATATTTCATTTGTTTCTAAACACTTGTACGGAAGAAGTTTATTTAACAGAACGTAGATATTCCTAACCGTTTTGTACCGCAACTTGAACGTAAAAACATCAAAGTATATTTTTAGCATGCCAGAGATAATCACAATAAAAGCATTTAGTGAGATTTCGTTTTTGACTGGCAGATGTTACGCTTTCATGTTCCATGGATAACGTCAGCGTGATTTGTGTAGAAAAAATGAGGTTCCGAGATATAAATTATTCCGTAAGATAAATAATATGTCTAATTACTATAATATACAAGGGGTTCATGGTGGAATTGATTATAATGGGAGTGAAATGAAAAAAAAAAGAAGGAAAATTACCAATTTAATTTCGATATATTAAATCACGATGAACGAATTTTTTAATAGAGCTGTTAACAGTATCGCGAAGCTCATTAAATTTAATACTTAACGTGCGTTTCTCACGAAATTTTTAACAGGCTGAAATGAAGAGCTTTTCTTCGTCGAGGCCATGACCCGGAAAATGGAAGTTCTATAATACACGTATCTGCCGAATCATCGACACGAAAGTGTTTGAGAACTTGTCAAATTTCGTTCGTTCGTTTCGCATCTCCTGGTATTGAATTATTCATAAACGTCAACCTTCTCTGCATCCACCAGATCATAATGAAGTAGTATTATATACGATAGACGTTCTATGTGTGGTTAATTATAATCAGTATTCGATTACCGATGACTCAATTAGTTAAACTTCGTTTCAATCTTGTCTAATGGAACATCCTTTTCCACCTTCTACTACTTTACGATTAGAGCTAACCAAAGCTCGGAACAGCTTTGCAATATTCAACAATAGACAACGCGTGTATGTATGTATGTACATCTTTCCCGGTGAACCATTTTCTTCGTTACGTCAACGACGAAGAAAGCATTTAGGACGATCAAACTAAATGGGTTTATCTCAAAGTATGGAATATAACATGATATCCTATCTAACGATACCGATAATCACTAGTACGACGTATCGAGAAGCCGATATCGTGGTTGAAAAGTTATTGGCACCCCGTGAACCTTCATTGTTACCTACCAGGGTTGTCTTGTGTCACCACTGATGTCACATAATTGAATCGTCTACTACGTCTGCAATTTCTACACCTGGCGAGACTGTACGAGTTTAAATGATCCGAATACACCAGAAAAACAATTATACATCATTTTTCCAACTGGGACTCGTTCGAGTGTAATCAACATCGATACCTACGAGTGCCTTGTTTTGCTACGTCTTTTCATTTTCTACATTTAAATACGTACCTTTGTTATCTTGTATCACTTTATTTTGTTTTCTTTGTCCCTGGTATTCTTTCAAAGAAAACAGTTAGATGGGAAAAGGGTTTCACTTTGTTCCAGATAAAATGACCATTGATTTGGAACGTCGCATTTATCTTGTATTAAAAACTGAATTATCCGTATCATTAATAATTGGATTTCTAGCGTGGTTTTGATACACACGTTCATTTGCAGTGCGGGAGTGAACGTGTTAAATGCAAGCAAAATGAATAGGAATGGTGGTTGTTTGAGCAACTCGATAACATTGTTAGTTGGAATCAAGAGGTATACGATTCTCATCAATCACTAAGGATTATGTTGGAAAATGCGACGTAAACGGTATTGCATCCTACGTAACGCGAATACAAAGAGAATACAAAGAGAGGTTGAACGTGACTGGAAAATTTTTTGCAGAAGAACAGGGGTGATGATAGACTATTACTCGTAGGCGTTTATCGCGTATAACCGAGAACACAATAAAGCCACCTTGAGCCTAAAGAATGTATCAGTTTATTTCATAAATAACGTGATTTTCGCACGTTTAAGTATCGCAATTACTTTTCATAATAAAACAGAAATAATATGAAAGAAAATTTGTTCAACTACAGTAATTGAAAGCTTAGTTCAGGCTTTTAGACGAGCTTAGTTCCAGTTGTCCCAAGTTGAAATAACAATCGACTGTGTGAATTTTCAGAGTGGTAGCAGCAGTAACCACGGTGGTGGTGGTGGTGGTGGTATCAATCTGGGACCAATGGTTGGAGGTAGAAGACCACCATCTCAACAATCTTTTCACTCGTCGAAGAACAACCATTCCCATCATTCTCGTCATCAAACCACCTCCGCACCATCATCCACACCACGTAACGCTTGCCAGCTACCCGAAATAGCAGCTCGCTGTATACGTAAGTAAATTTTCCCTTCTATTTCAACCACGTGTAATCCCGTTTTATAATTTTCCAATCGACCCGGTGCCTCGATACGACTTTCGATACGAGTATGTGTTAGAATATTCTAGTGAATCGGTGAGGGCATTAAAAGCACTCGGCTGTCTATTGATTTTTTTAACTTTTGCATATCAAAATTTAAAGGATTTTAAAGGACAGAAAGTCTTTCAGAGCAGTCATGGGCAAAACGAGCGCCCGTTGAAGAGCTCACAGGCACTGACGTAAATTTTCAAACTTACAAATTTACTTTAAAATAACCTAAACGCCGAAAGCGTTGAAAAACTATTAAAATTACAGATCCATTACAGATAAAAAGCTTGCTTTTATTCAACTCACGATCAAACAAAGGTTAATTACATTCGGCTCGCACGAGTTTACTACCGAACCACTAATTCACCTGTGTTAATCGGACTTACTTGCAATACTTGCTTTCCAATTTTAAAGTCGTGCTTGCGATAAGGTTCGTTGAATAGATTTGCTATTCGGTTTCCTAGCCACTTTGAAACAGAAGCACGCGATTCGTCAAGTTAAATTACTCTTGATGATAACGTTGTTCAGGAAACTTGCGCTATATGTATGTAGTTCTCTAATTTCTTTGCGCTCTGCGAATGTGTTACAGACATCAGGTCCTCGTCGAGGAATCTCGTATCGACGAGAAATCAACAGAGCATCACGAAAATGCTACTTTTGATCAGCACCGTTTTCATTCTACTCAATCTACCGAGGTAAGAGGCAAATTTTCAATTTCCTGTTGACAATTACAATGACAATTCTCAATTGTCATTGGAATTAATCCTTCCTAAACGAGCAGAATGATGAAATATCGGTTGAGCAAGTAGTACGAAACAATAATGTAGCAGACTTGATTCCAGGATCAGGTCGAGAAAATAATTAATTTTTCAACTTCAAAGACACAGAAAAGCTAATATTTCTTTTTCACGAAATATCAGAAAACTATCATATTCGATACTTTCAGTTTATCGAGTCCTTCAACAACATAATATTGCATCGAGCAATTTAAACTTGTGTATGCATTTGAAAATATGGAACACGCACCGGCGTACGTGGTTATAAAAATACTTGTGAATGCAATGAGAACACAATTTTCTAGAAAACATCACTTTCAGGATAAACAAGCGCGGACGATGAATATACTATGAACGAAGCACGGCACGATATCATGGTAAATAGAATGAAAAAGTAATTAAATGTAGACGCTGGTAAAAAATATTATGATATTTGACTATGTCAAACACGTAGCGCTGTTAAAAGTATATTCGGTAATTGCAGTAAAAAATATCAGAAAATGAAGGATAGAGGATTTATACGATCGATTTCAACAGTTTCTGAATAAATAGTACAATGAAATAAATTTTCAAGTACCGGAAGTAGCTCAACACCCATTCGCAAAGTGGAAAATTCGCGAGTCATTCGGTCGAAGACCATCGATCAGTGAAGAAGGAAATTTTTTGTTTTCCAGCTACGTGATTCGGCTGTGCGTCTTTTTCTTCACATTGGCCCGCAAAAACACCCCCGACTTGCTGTGGTGTTTGCAGCAGTTCTTTATGCTACTCTACTACACCAACTTCAGCATCAATTTCCTGTTGTACGCGATGTGCGGGATCACTTTCCGGCGTTGCTTGCAGCAGTTGTTGCGCAAACTGCTCAAGAGCATGACCAGGTACCATTGTAATCCTCAACGATACATATAGGTGTTGTGTCGTCGGTTTCGTAAAAATCGAACGAGAACCACGGAATTGTCGTCGCTTTGATCGTTTCACGTCGAAGAAACCGCGATTCGCGACGAAGAAGGTAATCCAATACGAATCGAACTTCGTCTTGGATACGACCTACGTTCCGACGACGAGAAAATTACTTCGAAGGGTAGACGATTGACTCGTCTGTAATATTAATTGCGATCGATGGAGGAAAATCTTGTTAATGGCACTCTGTTTATAGTAAGCTAAAAAGCTTCAAGATGTTGACTGTCACCTCACAAACATGTGAGCGTTACTTAAAATTTTAGAAGAATGTATCACCCCTTGTACTTATCTAATTAGAAATACTCATGTGTTAGGTACTTGAAGTGATGGATAATGAAAATAGCGAATCTATTACGTCAATGTGTCCGTAAAGAATTTACTCGTCAATTTGACGACACGGGGGGATCCGCAGACGCTTTACCTCGTATATCGAAACGTTTGCTAAGAAATAGTGAAATAGTGTTTCCTCTTCTTTTTTATAGAGTTCCTTTAAAAATAATATTTTGTACATATAAATTTTATCTCGTATTTAACACTAGTTTACGTATTTATCTTTTTATTTTAATTAAACTTGTCGGGTGCGTTTCAAAGTGAACTAATTTTTTCCCCCAGTGAAGTTGAACTTTCGTTTGAACTGAAATGCACAGAGAGCAAATAAAGTTGTATAAACGTTTTTCTAATTTCCTTTGCTCTTTGATCTTTTCAATGCATTGCAATTCTTTACCATTCAATTATTTCATTATCTTTCTATGCTTTCGCGAAGAACGTAAAGAATTTTATTACGTTGCTTTTAATCTTTAAACTTACGCTCCCTTATATTGTTCCTAATAATTTTAAATGATATCACGAGGATATAGCAATTTCCAAGAAACATAAAAGACATTTACTTAAGTTGATTTTATTTATTAATTTTCTCTGACCACTTTCTTTTTCAATATTTCAAATGGTGTTTATAATAATTGATTACTAAAGGGGTCATTGATGATCGTTGCTAAGAATATAATTTTGAATTTGAATAAAATGTGAAAAAAGTAAAAATAAGAAAAACGGAGCAATGCAAGAAAGGTAAAGATTTATCTTCGATGTGGACAGCTTAATTTATTGTTGACAGTATATTCGAGGGGAAAACTTGACAGGTCTCTGTCCCTTTTCACGCACTATCATTAAGAACAAGAAAAAATTCACAACATTCTCACGGAAAGCAATCATTTTCTGCGTCAAACGATTCAACGCAAAAGGTAAGACAGTTGTAAAACTTCCCTTACCACAGATAAATAGGGGAAGCTTGTTAAAATTGGGAATCGCGGAATTTAATACCTGACAATTTACTGGATAATGTTAACTTAATAAACAATAGATCCAGGCCGGGTTTCCATTCTCGTTTATCAATACGCGATTGATCCTTTGTTATCTGCTACAAAGAAATGTCATTACGGTGATTTGTTCCGATTTTCAAACAAGTTCAGTCTCCGTTCGATTATTCTAGTAATTCAATCAAATATTTCTTATTGTTTTTCAGCCTTGCTAGCTGCACGATCTTTCAGTTTCAAGTAAATTCAAGTATTTAATTAAATTTATTCTTTTTTTTTTGAAAGATGAAGAAAAAATTCAACATTAATTAAACATTTAATTAACATAAAACTTTGTTTTCCGATAAGTTGGGCAGGAAAGTTTTCAGTGAAATTCACTTCAACTATTATTTCCTCAACCGAAGCAGAAAAATCACCTTAGTTTCCTGTTTCTTTTGTTTACCCTTCAAAGGATGAAATTCAAGAGATTCGAATGAAGCTTCGTAGAAGGAATCAGAAAGTCTTGTTCGCAAGAAAGCAGGGAAAGTTTCCATGGTACGTGACAATTTAGCCGAACGTGGACGAGAATCCCGGATAATCCTTTAGCTTTCGATATAAATCCGTGCTGGGATCAAAGTTAGACGTTGCTCGAAGGAAAGGATTTCGAATAATCGAACGAAAAAGATTTTCCTTCCTTCGTGACTCTTGTTACCTTTAAATCTCAACACTGATTGCTTTTCGTTATGTCTGTAATGAATGTTACAGATACTCTCGTTTAATGTTCGACAATGAAATTAGCGATTCAGGCGTTATCAGTTACGAATAAAATTAGTATCCGAACTTTATCGCAAATCAATTATGGTCGCGATAATCTTTCTTATCAAAGAGAATAGATCGTGCTGGATATTGTTAGCATACTTTGCTTCGTGCAAAACTCGCGGAACTCGTTAAAATGACAAATTGTAAACTGTAAAATGTATTGATCCGTGTGGAAATTGCCAATAAAAGTTTATCCGTTAGACTGGCTACAGAGTTGTCAAAAGAAACATCTCAAATTGTTGAAACGTATCAAATTACCTCTTGCTCGTCGAAACGATACAGAACAATAAATATACGCTTCGAGTATCTTGAAAAATCCTACAAACTTTTCTTATTACCGTCACCATCGATGTTTAATAACCATTTTGTGAAATGCTTTCATGAGGACGATTCATTTTCCTTCGTTCAGACAAAATTGTTAAAGTTATGAGGTAAAAGATACTGAAGAAAGATGGAAAAACTTTTTAATTTACTGCAACGATCCAGGATATTACGATTCGAAGATATCCACCGTATCTTGATATCACCAGAGATTCTTTGTTAGATATTAAACGCAATTAAAGTTCAGAAATATCAATTTTGAAAAGTCAACAATCAACGTGCTGTTAAATCCTTTCGGTACGATAATTCGAGATTTTCAACTGTTTATGCGCTTATTGCATTCTAATCACTCGGGAGTGATCAATTAAAAGTTCATATTCTGTAAGAGCTAAAACAAATCTCATCATACCCAACAAGCACATCGAGTTGTTAAGCTCTCTTTGTACTGATGCTCGTATAATGGACTGAAATTGTATTTCCCAGAAAGCTATTGTAGTTCAAATTTTAATAGTTTAGACGGGAACTGTATTTAACATTTTAAGCTCTTTTCATGCGGAATACAAACTTTTACAATAATTATATAAAGTTCAAAGTTTGAGGCATTTGACGGAATGCTCCTGCTACTCATTCGAACGATGCTTATTTGGATTGAAAATTGTTAACTGTTGAATTTGAATAAAATATCAATCTAAAGGTTGATGATGGATGAAAACTACTATACGATAAACTTGCTACATCAAAGTAATATATACCCGTTAATTGCACACTAAAGTCGCGTGTTTCAGCAAGGTTCGCGTAGAAATTAGATTCAGTGAATAAGATAGAGGAGAATGAAGGGTTCTTAAGAACTTGAAGACTTTGTTAATCCATCTTGCAGATTCTCACGAACACTGAATTACGCTGAGGTATTGATAGGATTATTTGAGACTTTGATGATAGGTTACAAAGGCTTTTAAGATCCCAACAAGACTTTCTGGAAAGTGCTATGTACATAATAATTTAATATCTTCCTTACAGCTTTCGACATCTTCCTAATTTTAATTATTCGTAATCAGACTTATAACAACTTTTCTTTACCATTTTTCATTTCTTCATTTTTTTAAAATTTAAATTAATTTCCTAGCCACTGATGACCCCCATATCAGTCAAGGTGTTAATAGTATCTCCAATTAGGGCATAGTAATAAATGTGAGAAAAATGTACATGTATAATGAACATACTGTAAATGTATCAATATTAATAATTGATGTTAAACAACGTACGTATACAATGAAACGATTGTAAATGTTAAATTATAGTAAGCAACGTGAACTATATGTCTCTATTGTATAACACGGTTTTTCCATGAGTAAATTGTTGTACAATTACTTTCTGTTGTAAAATGTTTATGTACATATAGAAATTTGTAGCTGTTCATACCTGTACAAATACATTGTGTTTCATAACATTGTCTCTCGTCTGCTACTGATACATAAGACTCATATGTTATGAAACACCCTGTATATCGTAAAAATTAATTAACTATAAACTTGTTAAAATATTTCAACGTAAATCAACGATCCATTTATTGTAATTTTCCTTCGTTTAGATATCGATTCTAATTAGCACCGATATCGTATGTAAATATTAGCACCATTAAACTTGATTCAATGTGTAATTAGGACGAGCGGTGAATCATGAGAAGAGTAATTGTCCGTTTCATTACTAGTCAACAAGATTTTATGTAAACACACGTATGGATCGAGTGCAAGAACCACATTTTACATTGTAAAATACTTAGAAATATTAAAGAAATAAATTATCCTGAACAGTATGGTGTGTGATTCTGTTCGACAGACAATAGATGTGTATTTTGTATCATTTTCAAACGGTAAGTAATTTTCCTTTTTAACTTTTTAAAATTGCGACAAGTCTAACAAAACATTTAGCAAAAAGTGTTAATGATAAATTGGAAAGAATAGCATTGAAAATTTGCCTACGATTTCTGTATCGAACTTTAAAATATAAGTATACAAACGATTCCAATTTGATAAAAAAGACTGTTCGAAAAAGAAATAAAAATAAAAACCACGAACACCTACTACATATACCTCACAATTGCTCTCGTTCGACTTATTTCCTTCGCAAAAGTACTTTCTATACAAATGGGAAAGAGTTCCCCAAGGATGATCCTATTCTTACTTTTGAGACCTGTAGCGATAACAGAAGTAATCCCACGTGAATAGGGTGCTTTCGAAACCTTGTTTATCCCCTTCAGTTATACAGAAAAAGGCAGTGCTTGCTGTTTCAAAACGACACTTGCCTTGAATTGAAATTCAATTGCAATTTTTCCCTTTTCTATCTCTCTTACCATTATAAAAATTTGATTGCAGTAACAAGTTAATCTATTTGATAATTTGTAGATGGGAAATTGTAAAGCAACAATAACTCGTAATAAGACGTTTTAAGTCAATATTTAAGAATTCTTGCATTTCGGTTAATTAAAGCAATGTTACTAATTTTGAAAATGCACTTACCTTGGTTTTTGCTGACCCAGTTGGTCCTACCAGCATTAATCCGTGTCGCACCACTGTCGTCTCGTACAATTGGATAACTTTCTTCACGAACTCTGTAATTAGAGAAAGGAAATTCAATAATCTATTATCCAGAAGCATTTTGAACGGTCTTCTCGAATCGAATTTGATTACAGAATGAAATTACCGTACCAAACGGAATTAAACATCTTAAAATACATTTAAATCCTTTGCATAATTACATTCAAATTTGGTAAATAGAATCTATTAAAAATTAGTTAAAAAGTATAGAATAAAACTTTACAGAACTATCAGGTGCCAAATCTATTCCTGAAATAGGTGTCACATACTATGAAACACACTGTACAGCCTAATTTGATGATACCTTCACCCTTGAAATATGTAACTATACTTGTGTAAACCCACACTGTTTGATGATAAGTTATAACTAATACTTCATACAGAAAACTCGATCATCCTCGGCATTTTGCACAGTCCACAGATATCTCAGCCACCCTCTACTAACATATCCAGAGAGTAGACAGAAGTTGTCTTCGTTCCACGTATATGTATAAACCTCCTTCGTAAACATAAATTCTTGACGAGGATTTCCCTTTATCGAACAGCTCCACATGCTGATCCTACTTACGTATTTCGATACATTATCTAAGCCAGTTCAATTCAATTTTTTTTTTTCAGCTATCTACGCGGCACAGACGTCACTTAAACGCTTCTTCAATTACACAATACGATATAAAAGCCGGTATGTTAAACGATCAATAGAGAATTCTAAATAAATAATGATAGACAGTTTGTTAATTTCGTACGGGTATGAAACATAGTAGATATTCTAGTTGCGTGCATTGATGCAAATTTACACCTACGAGTATTTGCACACTTTTCTCATTGAAACAAATTAAACCCGTTTCTGGGCCAATGGTATCGAACGGTCCGATGATTTTCGTTTCACGTGCACGTGGAATCTGTAACGATGCTATTAACGACGAAAAAGTTTAACGTTAAGTGAGACGCCTGAAAGTTCTTTCAAAGGTTCATTACTGAATTTTTATCGGAAAACAATACCTGAAATTCTATAAGAGAATATAAAAATTGAGTTTTTTGCGACGGTTTTTACAAAATATAATCGTTGAACTGTTTTTATCACCAGATACGCTTAATACAAATAAAGTGAATCCAGCTGGAAATTTTGCGCATTTAACATTCTGAGTTCTATCGCGTTCATATCATATCATATAATAATAATAATAATAATTCTCACCGTCAATTTCTTCCATACCCATCTTCCTGATCGATGCTCGAATTTCTGCTTCCAAGATTCCATAATCCACATGTTTCTCTTCCAAAAGTGGGAAGAGGTCCGATACGATACCTGAAAATTATTTGATTAACGAACGAGAAGGTGTAAAATGAGATAAATCCACTACGTACCATTAAATAATGTCAGATCGTCTTTCAAAAATTTCGGAACGTTTACATCTCTGAGTGCACGTAAGCAAATCTGTTGTTCGTTCAGATCTTTCTGTTCCCTTTTTAAATTCCCTGCCACTGCTATTACAGTCTTCACTGCACGCATTCCGAAGTCGTAATGATCCTGCACAAAAATAAATCCACCTCCTGAAACTCGTAAAATTCTAATTGTTTATCTGTTCTGCAATTCGAATTGTTGATAGATCAATCTATAGATGAGAAGTAGATAGTGTTAACTGAACGATACGATAAATGCAGTTAAAAGAAGAAAAAAAAGAAAAGGAAAGTTTCGTGGGCGGAAGCTTGTTATCGAACGTGATTCGTATAAAACATTTCAAGAATGCTTCATATATAATGACCCTACAAGTTTGTGAATAACTTTATCTGAATATTACACGTGATTTTTAAAAAGTAATGATCATTACAGGGAGACGTTTTAATTGAGTATCATGATGAGTACCCATCAAGCCGTAGTTTGTAAAATATAGTACTACAATATTCTGAAACAAAGGAAAGAAAATGGGAAAAGAAATACCTGTGTGCTCAATTGTTCCGAGCTCAACTTGAAGGTGGTCGTGATCTTCCCTGCCAAGGTTTTCGCGTCGGTGAAGCCGTAAGAAAACAATGAAATTTCAGCGATCAACGCATAATCTGGTACCATCATAGCTACCGGGCGGAACAAAGCCTTCAAGTTATCTGGCAGTTCCGTGCGACCAGCATAACCAGGATTCATGGTGATGAAAACAGCACACGATGGCTTTAACACGATTTCATCCCCTTCGAAAACGAATCTGAAATATGTACATAACTTCCCATAAAAGAGATTTTGAAATTTAAATCTAGAATCTTTAAAATCTTCACTTTTTTGCATCAAACATTTTCACCTTCTTTTTATTCGTAGAACGCATTAAAGCAGTTTGATCATTTAATTTGAAAATACTCAAATGCGAAGAAAATATCATATTCTTTGTAGGCGCGGAAATTCATGATCATAAGCTTTGAAAGGTAAGAGCTTTTCAACCGGAAGCTTTTATAGGTCAGTCTTTTAACTCAGGATCAGGTTTCTATACATTTCACCTTTCAGTGGGAAGACTTTACGGTATCGAGGTTCCAAGGCTAAAATTTCTTTAATACCTCAAACGATAGAAACACTTTTCTTTTTTTTTTTTCTGAGTTTTAGCTTCCAGCATGAAATTTATCGACATAAACAAAGGATATTTCAAAGAGAAATACCTAATTGAATCGAAGAGCTTATAATACCTACGTTTCAACGCGCATCTGTTGCGCTTGTTGGATCGTCGTAATTTGTTGAGCGATGACGGACAGCACTTCGATGTCGATTCTATTGAACTCGTCGAAGCACGCCCACGCACCTGCGCTAAATTAACGAAATAATAATACGTTGTCGAAATCGACGTGAAAATATTTTCGTGAAATCGAGCAGAGAAATTATATTATTATACCTGGCAAGACCCTTAAAGAATTTCCCCATGGACATGAAATCAAGCTGATCAGAGCAATTGAAGACGACACACTGAATAGCAAACGCCTTCGCGAGATCCTTGGTTGTTTCCGTTTTCCCAGTTCCCGCTGGGCCAGCTGGTGCTCCGCCAAATTTCAAATGTAAAGCTCCAGTGAGAGTCAGATAACATCGATCGGTTAACGGAGTAATAACCAATCTTCCAGTATTCCCCAGATATTCGTATCTGTGGTAAACGTTAACACAGTTATTGTAATTTTCTACAAGATAAGGTTTAATCTGTCCCTGAACGTTGACACATTAATAGGGGTACATAGAGGGTTGATGGAAGAGATAGGGATAGGGTCGTAAATTTGGTATGATAATTAGAGGTAAATTTCAAACATCTACATAAACCGTTTCTCAATCTAACTAATTGTAAGATAAGGTAGATATGTCATACGTACTAATATCGATGAATTAATGAACAGTGAAATTTCGTTAGTGTTATGATACGTATGTACATATCGAATGTGAGGAATAAAATTGAAATAAAGATTGAACATATTTTTAAAATATTTTTATCCTGAACAAAAGTTATTCGGAATATGAAAACAAAAGATACACATTTTCTAACAATCCCCTACATTTTATTTCTATGCAAAAGTATTAATTAATCCAGGACTGAAAAATTCGTATAAAACTGAATAAAATTTTCGAATTCTTTGCTTAGGTTTCAATTAATATTACGAATGTCCTTCTATCTATTTTACAGACTCTAACGAAATAACTGTCGTGACATTGAGTTGTGTAAGATCCTTTGTTTGCCAACCCTTTCTAGAGTCACCCTCTTCAGACGTCGACAAGGGTGACTAGAACGACATCCATCATGGCGAAGGTGACAAAAGTTTTATCCTTTTAAGAACACAACTCCTTTTTGCAAGAGTTAATGTTTAAGAAACCGTGCATATTTAATCATGGAGATTGTTTCTTCGAATCGAGAACAACAGCATTTAAGAAACGCAATTTCGAGATGGAATATTTTAACGACTTACCCGTAAGAAAATTCAGCGTTCACTGCTCGTACCTTCAGCTCGCTATCATCGACCCAATAATATCGCAGCTGTGATATCCAATCGAAATCATTAACGTTTGAAACTTTTTCCTCGATCAATCTATGTAGAACATCCCTTGCATGCACCTCAACGGTGATCACAGCTTCTAGCATCAATCTCTGAACATCCGTTTGTGGAGCACGCACCAAGTCGCGAAGATCGTCGAGCTATTCGTGAAAGTTATCAAGTTAATACATATTAGCTACGACAACAATATTGTTTCGTATTCTTACATGTTCCAACAACTCCTCGTAATAACCTCGTAAATTATTACGGAGGATACCATTTTCGACGTGTGCTGTCCAGTAGGTTTGACCACAGCAGAGGGTTATTTGACCCGGCCACATATAAACCCATGTTTTCCTTGAAATCGAATCGATCATACGAAGAGCTTCGCGGATGATCTCTCTAATGGTATTACGCATCACATTCTCCAAATCACCCAACCAATATTCCACGCTTCTCACGGGATACATCGAAGGTCGAAATATTACCTCTTCACCCTCTGCTGAATACATTCTCGTGATCTCTAGATCACTCTCGAATTTCACCTGTTGTATATTCTCGAAACACTTTCTCAGATGGGGTTGTACCGCGTAAACGTTCTTAGCTTGTGCTAAAATTTCCAACAGTTCCTCGTCGCTGAGGAAGTAGAATCGCGGGAAAACTTTCCTTTTCACTTCCAAGTAATCGGACAGACCTTTCTGTACCATTTCTAGCAAACTTTTACATTCTTGTAGACCTTCCAAGAGGTTGCTGTCGGGACATATCTTGATAATCTGTAATTATTTATAATGGCTAGGGAGTAGTGTAACTTTTTAAAAACTTTTTCGAAGAACAAATTCTCATATTTCAAGTTTAGTCTACCATCGGCACTAAACTCTTCCAGAGAATTTATTTTTCGCCTTACACCTTGACTTCCAGCGGTCAGGGTCCATAAATAATGACAGAAGTGACAAAGATCGAAGACTTCGATAATGTCGCTACTAGAAGAAACTACATAGCTGACATAGGATCTTTTTCACAATCGATCTTATGCTCGCAACACACGATCCTCCCTCTTTTTCAATATTTTCCAATGTTATGAATATTATTAATATAGAAATTGATATTACGTAAGGGTTATCTTTGGCATTTTTCATGATTCGTCTCCAATTTCTTTCCATGGCGTTGTATCTTCTCGCCTCTACAGGTAATTGGACTGTAATATCCTCCGAAGTGAATATTGGCTCCAAGTACATCCAATCTCTTTACAGAATCCGTGTTATTTAAAAAATAATGTAACTTGTCTCATTACCAAGTTTTTACCTTTGCACCTCTATCCAGAGGATTAACACTTCTTGCGTCAATTTCAGCTTCTCCTCCCACTCGTTGATTTCGTCTTCAAATACGGTTTTTAAGGGACTGAAAGCAAGTTGCTGCACGTTGAGAATATGGTTGTCTAAAAGCATCAAGGTTTCTTCGGTAACCTTCATTATGTATGTTCCTAGATAAATCAAAGAAATTTTTCATCATCGCTACTATGTATGTATAGATATAAGCCGAAAAGACTAAATAGGGTATAGTTTTGTATAGGATGTCGTTTAGGATAACCACCTGTAGCCTTGTAAGGAAGTATCTCCATGACAATTGTTTCCCATTCGATGATCATCTTGTTCAGCGTTCGTTCAGTAGCGTATTCTTTGGCCGCAGTGTCAGCTACGGTCTTTACTAGTTCCTCAAATTCTTCAATGCCAAGAAATAATAAGGTTTTGAACGTCATTGAAGGTGTTAACGCCATTTGTATTCCCGTTTGGGCACTCAATTGATCGAAATGGCGGTCCTTCATTCCCGGATTTCGTAGAGCTTGTATCAGGCCAATGTAAGGCTTGAACTCGTCTATTTGGTCCCTTATGGTTGTTGCTATTGCCTGTACCTCTTTAATGAAGATAAATGTTTCATTATTCCCCGCCTTCTTTTGCAACGATTCATGAATAATAACGTACTCGGGAATTCCTGAAAGGTTCTAACTCCTCGAGTAATCACTCGATACATATCCATGACATGAGACTCTATTTGACTACCATCGACATTGATAAGGGGATTATCCATCCATACTTCGTACCATCTCAGCCAGTCTATAAGTTGTAGGGAAAAAAATCCTGTTCTAGACCGAAGATACACTGATTCGCAAAGTGTAACACTCGGATATTTTGTTGCTTGCCTGAAGCAGTGACCCATAAACTTCTGTACGGTTCAAACTCCCTCATAAGCTTGTGCAAATGCTCAAAAGGAACAACTTTCATGCCGAACAGTTTCTGTCGTTCGTTTAACAGCAAACCCATTTCACGACAATCTGTCATCCCCTTCCAAACCCGTTTCACGTCCAGTGCAGTCTCGTGTACACGATTGATATCCGTTTGAAGACCAATGTTCGACACATTTCCTACGAGAGTGTCGATTCTTTCCAATAGCAACACCTCGTCCTGAATTTGGATCTTGTAGAACTTGTCCTGTTCCTCGACAAATCTTTCATTGGTTTCATCGATCTATGATAATAAAATAATTTCATATTTCATTTATATTTAATAAGACGATTAATTGAAGAAATTAGAAATCACCTCATTCTCTATCTGAAGCGGAGAACCAATAACTAGCCATTTAGCCTCGAAATCTTCGTCAGATAGGTTCCAGTAGAAACTGTCGAGAATATCAAAGTCCAATTTTAATATTTCCATCTTCTCCTGGAGATCTTGAACCCGTAAAGGTATCGTTTCCATCCAGTCGCGAATTTCAAATATATGCTCGATGCTTTGTGGCACCTCCTTCAATTTATATCTTATTTGCGTGTATTCCTCCAGGATGTTGTCAACTTCAGCCCGTAGTCTCTCTGTAAACATGACGAGCAACCCGGTTGCACACTCTTCGCGTTTTCCCATGAGAAAATTCTTAAGGGGTCGCACGTTTACGTTGAAAGGACCAATCGAGATCCTTTTCGGCAAGGTAAAATCAAGATTGGAAATCATTGTTTTATGAAAAGTTATTTCCTCCTTGATCTCCGCTGTGTTGTGTTCTTCATCCTTGAATTTCCTTCAACATGGAAATGAAATTTAATTTAATTCGCTTGTCCTCGAGAGGATGGTAAAAGATCGAATTATGTATTTAGAACGATTCAGCTGTAAGATTTTGTTCGCTGTACTTTGAGAAATGCGTTCAATCGTGTCGAATCATCTGGATCGTTTATTGATATCGATATCATTCAAGGAGATATTAGCTGCCGTAAAATTGTAGTATGTATGTACATTGAAACTAACAGACTCGAACAACTGGCCACACTTACTGAATGTACTCTGCAACCTTCAGATTATAAAAATCCAAGTAAGCTGTATATTCCTTGACGTACGCTTTCAGAATCATAGAACATTTTTGATAAGCTATTTTTAAGCGATCACGAATTTGGCACACGTATCCCTCGAGCAGGCCAACCGAGCTTAGGAAGAGATCCGGTGGAAACTTTAGCGCCGGAAGTAGAAAAGGATTTATTTGTCTGATCTGATGGCACAAAGTAAGTGCATTGTCGTACAGCGTTATAATTGTCTCCTGAGGGCAGAAGGACAGAAGGACATTTATTGTTTCTCATTGATTATCCTTGGAGCGATTCATTTGATTAAGCCTACCCCAAATTGATCAGGATCAACCGAATAATACGCTTTGTTGCCGTCCATTTGTAGATCGACGGTAAAGATAGGATTATAGACTGATTTAAATTGACTGTCAACAAGGTTGTTTCCCCAAACAAATGTTTCTTCAACGTCTAAGAGACACAAGGCTGGACCCTCCAGGGTATTTCCGTATAATGTGATTGAATTTTCCACCAGAACTCGCAGTGCATACTATAAAAAGTATTTTAAACGTAGATACTTACACGTAGATATACCATAGACGAAATTTAACTCATTATGACTATAATAGAGTTAAATGGGTTGATGAACAAAAGCGACTTTATAATGCTACCAAAATGTAACATGCGCGGTAATGAATATTAAAAACTTTTAGAATTATCTGAACTTTAAACGTGTTACACGTGTTGTAAGGTACCTATGTAAAAATCAGCACGCTATCGAGCCTACGAAAGTTACATACCTGCATACGGAGAGTAGTGAGATTCATGAAACGTTTTAATTTCATTACATCGTATACTCCGGGAACTTTCTGTTTCAAGTCGAACCAACCTTTTCCTATATCTCTCAGACACATTCTCACCGATTGTGCGATCTTCTCCAGCCATGGCTCCTTCAGGTATTTTACGACAGACACGGTACTTTGGGAATGCATCTCTTCAAATTCCGACAGCGTAATCAGTTTCCCATAATTCACGCCGAAGAGATTCATGGTGGATAACTGAATGCATCTTGCCACGATGCAAGCCATCGCTTGATACACCTCCTCTTGAACGTACAATGTCACCCAGTGGATGAATTTCTGAACTTTCTAAATTAAAATCATGGCATTTTGGTCGATATGGTTGCTTTGTAAATTAAATTTGAAAAATGTAATCTGTACGAGGAAGACTTTATAAATTGCGCAGGGAATTTTAAAATTAAGAACGGTACATCACCATAAAATTTTCCATGCCGGTATCGATCTTCCCCTTATCCGGCACCCTTATTTCCTCTACGGAAGGCGTCCATGCGATGAATTTAAACATCTCAGGATTCCACTGGATCATTTTCCTCCACATAAGATCGCACATTGTACGTTGGTAATCCAAAGAAATCTCGTTTATCAACTGAAACAGAGACGAAAGCAATTAGTGAATAATTAACAAGGTGACTCCAGAGACAGGAATAGGGGTACGGTTCCCTTTCAAAGGAAGATAAAGGAAACAGATGCAAGACACGTAAATCTTCTAACAACAAGAACATTAATTAACAAATGTTCATTTTGTTATTTGCAAAATAACTAGGAAATATTTCAGTATAATTTTATTTACATTCCCTTAAATCTTGTAACGTAGAAATTTATTGCCTATATTAAACGCCTTTATCTTCATTTAGTTTCGAGGTAATTCTCCGTTAATGAAAAACCAACAAGGAACCACTTTATCAAAATTTCCGCGTGGCATATAAATTCCAACGTAAATTTCACGCACTGCTGATACTCTTGTTTCCGGAAATTTAATCCGAATCCCGTTTAAAGTTAACCGAACGATAGCTTCCTTTTGTTTTTCATTTAGCGTCAACATGCCATCCATTTGCATACAGTCTAGATAAAAGTTGTATCTGTATCAAAGAAAAATTAAAAGCAAACATTAAAAGTATAATTAACTTCCTTCAGGTACAGACAATTAATGTACACATTTGACATTTTATTGAAACTCTTGACACGATTCGATGACATAAAAGTATCCGCAAAATAGTAATTTTAATATTTTTAATAAATATTCGGTTTCTTGTTTGATCAAATAATGAGCCAACTAATTGATAACTAATTGCTTGTTCATCAACGAATATTCAATTTTCGGGTAAAATGTTTCTAAACAAGATTTTACGATTTACTATATTGAAAATTATTTTATCATTTTGCGGTATGAGAAATAATAGATAATTAGGCATGATTACTTTATAGAAGCATCAGCAATTTTCCTATGTTCGATCGCTGTTGCCAGCCTTTTGGCAAACACTCTTGGATTTTCAGCGTAAAATCGAATATAAATCCTCGGAAGTAAAAATTTCCTTTTCAGTCCATCCAGTGTCAACACCGACCATAATTTATGCTTGTAATCGTAATAGGTAACAGCCGCGTCGTACCATTTGTATAAATGATTTAAAGCTTCGTCATCGATACGAGCGACCTCATCCGTTTCTCGATATTTTTGCACGAATACTTCGGCTGGTAATGGATAACGAACCCCATCAATAATACTGAGGCTTATCCAGTCCTCGGTTGTTCTATTGAGAAAAAGACAAATTCATAGACAGGTAGTCATAATGAGACAGTTGTTCTGATTGACGTATATAATGATGAAAAATGAAGGATTTCTCTTTAAGGACATGACATTGTAAGAATTGTATTTTAAATCTCATCTTCAACAGATGGAAACGTTTACGAAGCTTGAGAATTTCTCAGAACAGATGAGAAACTGAATACTTTATTCGATCAATGACGCGTATTATGTTATAGAAAATAAATTTCTTGTGATTTTTACTAACAGTAAGATGGCATCTTGGTCTATTTTAATTAAAAGATCGTAATTACGCCAATGTGTAACTTGTTATGTTGTTTAATTTTTGCCGTACCTACAATCGTATTCTTCGTCGTCGAAAATCTCCAACGGCAAAATGGACGCTGTGGCAAATAGACCATATATCTGCTCGTGAGATAATAATGACAAAACGACCGCCGGTGGAAGCATTTCCTTCGGCGAAATTCCATCCTCTTCCAAGACATCCTCGATCTTTAAGTTTCTATAACTTCGACGCAGTCTTTCTATCTCGACATTTCGCGGAAGTTCTTTCGGTTTTACATTCTGCTCCTTTTGCACGTTGGGGGCGAATGTTTCTGCAGGAAATACCTTTTCAAACGGAACGTTATCTCTTTTAATACTTTTAAATAACGTTTGTCAAGTAGTATGTATGACGTTAGTTTAGACATTGATTCCTTACGATAGATCGATCCTGCGGGAAGGTGATCCATCTTTTCGCTTCACCAAGAAAATTATACTTTTCATGGTCCTTTAATTCTTGTACGCGAGCACTATGATGCTCAGTTAAAACTTGCCATAGGAGTTTCACTCTCTTTGGTGCAGCATTCAAAAGAGCTACTTCCGGTCTCACAGGATGTGTCGCGGTACCTTATATTAGTTATTAATTTATTTCAATTACTATGTTCTTGTACAATTAAACCGACAACAGGGGTTGTATTCAGAATTTTTTCATTACAGAATCATTTACCTGTAATGATTTCGGAATAATAACCACGTCTCTTTATTTTTCGATTCTCCATACTTCCAAACTCTCTGCACTTTATTTTGCATTCAAAGGTAAAACTTTATCTACATACATTATATTTACAGTTTGGACAAATATCCTAATGTATTTTCTGGATCTGAACTTGTCTAATATCTTTATTATAACAATTTTTTAAATCGCATATTTCACAGTGTAAATTGAACTGTTAGTGTCATCTATGGCGGCACACGAAACTCGTGTAACTTCCTACAATCACCGTCCTGAATCGTAGAGTACGCAACAAAACGGCTGGTAAAATAAAGGTTTTAAACTACATCGGTTCCGAATCCCGCGTCGATAAAACAGCTTGTCTTCTGCTGAACAGAAACTGATTTAAACGCCACCTGAATTATTGCATCCAACTAACGGCATGCTATACTACGTTACCTTTCGCAAATACCTAAATGACACATGTACGCTATATATGTATAAGTATATAACAATACTGACTATGCATTCATTATTATTAATTTTCTTTCCGTAAAATTGTATTTGCAATGTGGTACACTTCAGAATCTTGTAGACATAGTTCCTAAAAAAAATATAACAGCGATTAAATAGAAAAAAAGCATTTTCGCAGCCAATTCGCTCGTATTATTTGCTGCATAATTAATAAATATACCATAGAAATAATGATACAGTTATTAATTAGTCATGAAATAATAACGATTGCCCAGGTCTCACCACGGGGAGGTTGCTGCGGATGGAGACCCGCCCTACCTCATCCCATCCACCCTCCATTTATGCAAATTTTTATTTTTATTCAATACCATCATCCTCTTGATGAACATTTGCAAAACGTTTTTGACTGTTGTGCAAACGAACAACAAAAGGAGCATTATTTTTATTCACTACCTACCTATCTACTTATCTATACATATATTTACGTAGATTTTAGCTTTTTATTCCTATCGCAACATTTTCTAATTTTGATTTTGATTACAGATCTGTAATTAATAAATATGCAATTCCGAGCGCTCGTAATTATATTAAAAATTCGCTTAAATCTAACGCTTCCTAATTAAACACTGCAGTGTATGACGATTATATCTTAATGACTATATACATAAATAAGTCCAACGAATTTGTTGATTTTGCTGTCCTACCTAAAATAAAACTGAAAAGAATTAAACATAATTTAAGAAAATAATAAGGCTCGTGTAGCCTTAATCATAAATTTACAACCTGCCTGAAAAAAACAGAAAAGGATTAAATACAATTTTCGAAAATAGTACGGTTCAAATATTACCACTTATTACTTATTTGGATACATTGAATTCCATTTATGGACGCTAGATTTTATATTACACTTCTTCCAGTCGATTATTCGATATTATTATTTCATACTTCCTATAAAGATATTTCTCTGTAACAGAAACTGATTAATTGAATCCAGATAAAGACAAAGAAAAATTAATAGCTGGAAAGAAGATACATTAGTAACAATAAAATTTTATAAAAGTCAGAGTGGTTGTTAATAATTCAAAATCAATTTGATACGAAATATGAATTTGAAGCAAACTTCAGTACCAAAATAAAGAGAAAAAAGTTCAAAAAAATATATATTTGAGTTAAGTGACTTGAGTTAAGAACATTAATTATTTCATTTTATTGTATTTAATATTCGTTCATTTCGCGACAAATAGCACACAATATTTTAATTGAAACAACTGCCTTTTACTGCAATGTATAGTACGTACAACCACGACTCTACTCGACTTTATTGCATTATATTATTCAATACACCTTTCAATGCAAATTTATTGTAAATGGAAAAACTGAAAAAAAATCACGAGTGGACTTTGCTTTTCAGGAAAAGAATTAAAAAATTTATAAAAGTAATTTAATTAGCTTTTCCGTAAGCTTGAAATAAAACATCGCGATCAAAAATTAAAACTAAACAACTTGAACAACAATTATCCACTACTTTTGTTTAAATAAAGTAGAATTAAAATTTAATAAGCTATCTCGAATGAACAAATATTCCTTGAAATAATTTATCACCAATCATCACAAAATAAAATGAACTTTCATTTTAAATAAAACTTTGAATAAAGTTCTATTTAAAACTTTATCGTATTTAATAATATTCTGAAAACATTAAATTCATATATTATTTAACAGTATTTCCAACAACCGAACGCTCAAAATTTTCAAAATTAAAAAAAGAAAAGAAAAAAGAATGGGGGCGGGGCAGTGGGAGGGAGGGTACAGGGGAACCTGAAAAGAAAAGTTTGACTGCCCATAAGAGCAATCCCTAAGCAAACCCTATAAAAGAAACCGAAATCACACGCAACACTAATTTTAAAATCGCAAACATTCTGAACTATGACAAAACATCGGCTGGCAACGAAGGGTCTCACGCCCCCTAGACTTACGCCAGACGCTACATACCACCCACCCCGCCTGGACGTCGTAACGCCAGGACAGAGTGCACCCCTTCGCTAAGAGCGCTACCCGCCCGTCCAACACGTTGCATCCAACGGTGTCAGATTGACGGACGCCCATAGTATAGACAAAAGGACTACAGTTTAGAATATGGTAACATATTTTCATATGTTCCGTATTCTAAAGCTGCGCCTGCAAAGGCCTAGTAATGCATGGGTATATCTCCCAGAGATGGTGTTCACGGTCTTAGGCCGCGGAATCCTTGACTAGCAATGGATTCCCACCGAATGTGAGTCATAGTTACTTCCACTAATTTAATACAAATCGCGAATTCAGTCGCAACACTAATTTCATTAATTATATAATATGTACAAAAGCGTACGCGTGAAGGCTGCTCCATTATACGCAACGCTAAGCTGAAAAAAAGAAAGAAAGAAAAAACGCGAACTGTAACGCAACACTACTTAAATCTACCGAATTTTGTATGACGCAACACTAATCTAAAAAAGGGGTACAGCCAATCCAAGGCTGTACCACGGCAGCTGGTCCATAGCTGCCTTATGGACCATGGCAACTCCACTGGATCGTTTTTGGGCATTCCTAATGCAAAACGCGAATATTCATTACCGCAACACTAGTTAACAGGGAACTCTATAAACTAATGCAAAGCAATCGCGTATTTATAAGTCGCAACACTGGGAAACAATCGCGCTAATGTCATTCGCAACACTATCTTTAATTGACATGCAATTAAAATTCAGAAAAGGGGGATTCTCAAACCGTGAATTTTTTACTCGCAACACTAATTTCATTAATTATATAATATGTACAAAAGGGTACGCGTGAAGGCTGCTCCATTATACGCAACGCTACGCTGAAAAAAGAAAAAAAGAGAAAACGCGAACTGTAACGCAACACTACTCAAATCTACCGAATTTTGTAAGACGCAACACTAATCTAAAAAAGGGGTACAGCCAATCCAAGGCTGTATCACGGCAGTTGGTCCATAGTTGCCTTATGGACCATGGCAACTCCACTGGATCGTTTTTGGGCATTTCATCGTATATCGCAACACTAATGCAAAACACGAATATTCATTACCGCAACACTAATTAGCAGGGAACTCTATAAACTAATGCAAAGCAATCGCGTATTTATAAGTCGCAACACTGGGAAACAATCGCGCTAATGTCATTCGCAACGCTATCTTTAAGAGACATGCAATTAAAATGCAAAAAGGGGGGATTCTCAAACCGTGAATTTTTTACTCGCAACACTAAAGCAATTAAAACATTAAAAAGCAAAACTCTAAAAAATCTTAAAGCAATCAACATTGAAAAGTTAAATTCTATTTTAAAGCAATGCAATAAAGAAACGCGATATTTAAAGTTCGCAACACTAAATGAAAATCGCGATAATCATGCATACGCAACACTAAATTGAACCGTGATCGATATTCATTCGCAACACTAAATTGAACCGTGGTCAATGTTCGCAACACTAAATTAAAAACGCGATTTGCCCAAAATCATGGGGGTCACGGGCCCCCTCTTCTCCTGCAATTACAAAACTACAACTACAGGCAAGCACAGTGACAAAGTAGTAACGATAATGATTTTCCATCCTTTTTTGCAAAAGGATGCAAAATCATTAGTAGTTCCCCTCTTGAAAGACAGTTTGTCGGGGCGCTTCGGCATATAGCCTTTTCTTTCTTCGGGCGGTCCACCCACCTGAAACTTATATCTAAAGCTCGAGACTTGCAAATTCGCAAAACAGAAAAAAAAAACAATCAACAAAAAAGAAAAATCGCGAAACTCTAATTGACACGTGGACGAAAAAGGACTTTATACATACAAGTCGTTGTTCGTGCACACGTGCCGTGCTCGAGCAGAACTTGTGCCAAAAATTTGAAAAATTGTACAGATAGAATCGAAGGCGAACGGCATACTCCGTTCGTATCGATTGGATCGTCAATTCTTCAAATATATTCCAGGTACAGGTTGATCACGCGAAATCGCGCCTACCCGACCAAGAGACTGTGACAACCTGTCCCGGCCCTACCTACTTACAATCTATCACACACACCAGAAGGTATACTACCTACCTACCTAACGCTATATTTAAAAAAGGCAAAATCACATTCTCACAAAAATTCATTCCACGACCCCCATACACTCCACCCGGGCGCAAGAGCCTAAACTAGGGAGAACGTCCCGGGACGCCTCCGTCACCCGAGTTTCATCTCACATCACACTCTACGGTACGTACCATTTTTCACTGAAATCGTCTGGCAAGGCTAGCAATCATTGCGTATAATGATAAATTACAAAATTTAATTAACTACTTTGATATAGAATATTTCATAATAATGGTAACAATCATGGTAATAGTAATGGCAATACAGTAATAATAATGGTAATAATACTATTTGGTTTGTACGTTCATCGTACATCTTGTTGAATAAAATATTATTTCAAATTAAAAGTTAAATGAAAAAGTTATTAAACCGACGCAATCCCACAGCCTAAAAACACACACACCATATGTGGAGATTACGTCGTGCACGATATACTAACACAATGCCAGCCGCTTATTAATTATTATTCTTATGAACTAGGTCATCGTGCCCATTGCCTCTACCCATCCAAGTAGCACCTGGGCACGTGAATGGGCTTTGGCAATAAACACGGAATGGGTTAAATCTGAAAATCCTGATCTAAAAACATGATTAGTACATAAACATCTAACGGGCTAATATTTCACTATTTTAATTTAATATAATAAAAGTGACTCGACTTTGTAAATATAAAGCTTTAAGAAGAAATAGAGAAAAGCAAAATAGAGCAACTATGACGCAA